CGAAAAGCTCAACTACTGAACCATTTTGATCATGCAGCGCACGCGCCAAAAAGAGCCTTGTGTAGGCTACAGAAAACCATGGTTCAGTTACAAAAGTTGAAAATTTTACTGGCAATGCGCTAAAGCCATTTCAACGAGATACTAGCTAGAGTATTTACCTTAAAGTCTCCCAGGCCCGCTAGTTGAATCGAATCATGGTCCGAAGGCCCCAGCCACTTTACGAACGATTTCCAAGAAATTATATCCCAGAGACAGGGGGTGTGTGGAGCAAAATGGCATGATGCGTTGCATTCACCAACCAACAGCACAGGTCTGCATCCGTGGTCTGCGGTCAAGCAAACAGTCAAGTGGATGTTCTCGGCATGGCCCCTGACTCCTCTCTTTCTTTCGTAGAATCTGAGATCAAAACTCGCCAACCCCGCACTTGACTGGCCCAGGTCTCAACCAATACAAGACCTCCAGAACACAACCTGATACTCGAGCATTATGGGAGAGAACTTTGAGGCAAGTCGCATTCGCGTAGGCATCTTAGGCGCCGGTATCGCCGGCTGCTGCCTAGCTGTCGGTCTTCTCCAGAATCCACTTTTGGACGTTCAGCTGTTTGAGAGATATTCAGACATCCGAGTCCGCGGGTCCGGTCTTGCACCACATGGAAACGCCATCAGGGCCATGGATTTGATCTCGCCCAAGATCAAGCGGGCGTACTTCAAGAAATCGCACTTCATGGCTGGTGACGAGAACACGGAAATGGCAACACAGTTCAAATTGACCAGTGGTGAACACGCTGGAGTTATCTTTGCTGAGTTGGGAAGGGCCAAGGGCAGGCGGACCGTTCACCGCGCGCACTTCATACAAGGACTCCTTGAAGAAGACGTGGTCCCGCATCAGCGCGTTCACTTCAGCAAGCGAGTCGCTAAAATGGAGGAAGACCCTTTGACACGTAAAATCACCGTTGCGTTCGAAGATGGCACTCAAGATGTGTTTGATATTGTTTTCGGTGCAGAAGGTGTCAACAGCCCGACGAGGAAGTTTGTTCTGGGGCCTGGTCATCCAAACGCAGCTCCAGTCAATCACGACCAATGGCGCCAGTTCCACACCACCGTCCCCATGTCCGAAGCCAAAATGGTCGTCCCTGTCGAGTCAGTCAACACGGTCATCACGTATTGTACACCTTATGGGTTCATCAACGCTATCCCGCTTGACCTTGGCCAGACGTTCAGCGTGGGCTGCTATCAAAGGGACACCAAATGCCCGGAACGTGGGGTCCCATTAGACCCTCAACTCTGGAAGGGTTCACTTCCAGGGGTAGATGCCTTGATATCTGTAAGTTTCATGGTTTCTAGTTATCCCTCATGGCATCATGGTCATCTAAACAGCCACATTCTAGCTTTTAGAGAAAGGGCACACAGAGGACTGGACTCTTCAAGACCATGACCACGCCCCCTCCTACTACAGAGGAAGGGTAGCCATGGTCGGTGATGCCGCCCACGGGACACTTCCTCACTCAGGCAACGGCGCTGCTCAAGCGATCGAGGATTGCTCAGTGCTCACCGGCATCTTCTTGCGCTTGACATCCCTAGACGAGGTTGAAGCCGCTTTCAAAGCCTATGACCAAGTGCGGATTCCTAGAAGTCAAAAAATTGTAGAGATCACGCGAAGTTTCGGGCGACTTTACAGCCGCGATCCTCACGAAATTGTCTTGGATGAGATGAAGGCCGAGATGAGGGAAGGTGGGATGTATATCAACGGTGTGGACATGGAGGCTCAAGTAGAGAGTGCCGTTGATGCCTTTGAGAGATTCAAAGGGATTTAACTTGATGTTTGAGGAAAGAGCTTTGATTTCAGAGGTATAACATGTTTCACGACTAAATGGGTGTAAATGGCCTGTGCTTTCAACGCTGAAGATACGATGAAGACTCGCAAATTAGAGCTCACGGTCCAATGCAGATTCTCATCAAATCATATGTCTCCCTTTGATTATCCACAAAACTCGGAGTTTCGTGGAGCTGTATGAGAGTCGATGCTGTCGTTGCGGATTTGTAGACTCAACTCGTTTGCATTGAGTCTTGGCCAAATGAGAGCACGGGCATTAGCAGAGTTGTATCTGTCAGCCCCAACACCTAGTCTTGAAGGATTGTCGGATGATTGAGGCTCGAGAAATCGATACGAGTATGACGGATGGTGTGCCGAGGTGAAACTATGCGTGCTCCCAGAGACCGAGTATGTATTGGTAGCGAACCGGTAGTAGAAGCTGTGCATTTCAAAACATTTGATAAGCCAGATGTCAGCGTTAGCATCGTAACTTGTCAGATTCGGCTGCTCTACATCACATTGACGAGGGTTTGGCGGTGAGATCGCTCTGAGGTAGTGGAAAAGGAGGTGTTGAGGGGAGGGAGCAGGTCAAGGCCAGTAACATGAGGCTTTGAGGAATTCTAGCCCTGAGTTTACTTTGTAAAATTGCGAGGTTAGTCTAAATGAAGTCTCTTCCTCCAAGATCCCAACCACAGATTTAGCCCGGAGGGGATGAGCGAGTTGAATACTTTGAAAGGACGCCAGGCTGGCTTCGCGAAAAGACCAAGTTTCTTCATCATCGTTACCACAGTGAGCTCAGCGTACGTCTTATTTGGTCTCTATGGGGCAGCCCTTGAGTCTCCCCCAGTCCTCAATCCCCGTCAAGCAAACCTTCAGCTCCTCCAACACAGGCGCCATATCCACCTTGAAGGGCTTCTCCTCGGCATCATTGTACCATGTGTAAGCCCTTCTCGTCTCGTCCACGACGACTTCCAATTCCTTACCGGATTGCATCTGAGACTTCAATGCCGCAGCCATTTCCTCAGAAAATTGGTCCACCGTCTGGTTTTCAAACCCAACCTCTCGGCCCCACGCACGGCCCAACTTCTCGGCGAGTTGGGACAATTTTACCGTCTCCGGGCCACCGACGACTATGTTCCGTCCATCGAGCTCCGCCGGGTCCCGTGCCAAGGCCGCGACCATCAGGAGCGCCAGATTATCGAGAGAAATCCACGACACCTCGAGGTCGGGTTTATGGCAGTAGACTATCCGCCCCTCGTCTCTAAGGCGCGGCAAAGTCCAGCCTTCTAGTAGGTTATCAAGGAAAACGCCGGGTTGTATCGAAACGAGTGCTACGCCGCTGCCTTTGACCTCCTCCCGTAAAATTCGGCGTGTCTCCCGACGATGCTCCTGAGCTTCAATGCCGACATTCTTCTCGGGGACGGGGAAGCTCGTGTTGAACACGATGATCTTTAGAGTCGACGACTGCGCAGCGGCCTCGGCCCCAATAGTCCTCGCGGCGGCATAGAGGAAATCAGCTGGCTGAAAGGAAGGCAAGTTCAACAAGACGGCTTCTGCACCGGACAGAGCAGCACGGACGGCGGACCGGTCGGTGAGCTCTGCGATACGGGTCTCGACGGGCGGCGAAGTAATGCGGGGTTGCCGGCTCACGGCGATGGGATAGTGGTTTGCCGCCTTGAGAGCTGAGATTTGGGCGATGCCCTGTCCGCCTGTTGCGCCGAAGACAACCACGCGCATGATGTGGATTTGTTCGCTTGTTGCTGAAGAATTGCTGAAGGATTCTTGGGTGCATGAGCCAAGCTCTCCATCGCCGACAGAACCGAGTTGCGTCGGTTCAATACACCGCGGCCCTAAATGTTACACCAGACTTGCGGTGTCCCCAATATTTTTATTTCTACCTAGCATAACGCCATCTCTGTATTTTCTTCTATGCGTAATGAACTTATGAGTGAGGAGGTTAGAGTGTTTATATTGTTAGAGGGATACCGGCCACTTACCAGCTGAGACCGGGAAGGCCTAAGTACCTCTGTAACTGACTGGAAATCGTTCAACCCGAACGGGCAGAATTTCTAGCTGACAGTAATCCTTTTTTGGTCAAGTGCGTGATTTTATCGCGTGGGCTGTGTTACATTGGAACCATCATGCTAAACCAAGTGTGGTTACTCCAAGTTTTCATCTTATCAATCTCCTATCAGTTACCTCCTGACCACGAGATCCATGATCATGTTCGGTCTAATTATACGGAGTAGTGACTAGGAAATAGAATTACTTGACTTTTCCCATCCTATGGCTTACTAAAGATACACGGTACCTATGTTTAGTTCGCGCCGCCACTCAATGTTTTCTTGAAGGGGCCTTGACATGAGACAGAACATCCATGTAGAGCCATCCAAAATCTATTGAGAGTAAGGTCTATGTAGTGATGATCGTTTCCAAGAACATAATTCCTAACTCAAATTCACATGGTGATGTGAGCGTGAGAAGATAAAATTCTGAGTACATGAAGTAAGAAAATGTCCCTTGGAACACATCTTCAATTGTTTGGGGTACCCAACAGCCAGCCGTTGGCATGACAAAATGCAACACATTCAAGTTCCAACTCCTGCGGTCTTTACTTGTACCGACCAATGCCAACGAAGAATGATTCAATGCCATTCCTGGCCATTCAAGGTCATAATCTATCAGGCGTGAAGTATGAGCCGATTATTTGAGCTGTAATAGCTGAACAACGATTCCGTCTTTTATTCCGGTTTCCATGATGAAATAGCCGGGATCATGTCGAGTTTCCTCGAGCCTATACCTCTATTGATTATTGATATGTGTACCTTACTTGGTGCCAGGCCATTTCCGGTGATCAGCCAAAAACACGATCCATGAATCCTCTAATTTATCCATTTCAAAATCTTGAAAGCGTTCAGTGCTGCCTTATCTCGACATGTTTACAAGCACTTTTGCAGGTTTACTTGTAACGAGAAATATTTGGTCTGGTCTGAACTGCAAGTATTCAAGCAGTGACTTGCGGGTCTAAAGCTCTACGTTCAAGGTTCAATGATACATTACTCCAGTACTATATCAAATGTGCATCAAATGTGCATCAAATTGCGCCAAAATAATCCATCACAGTTCTTTCCAATTTCCAAGAAAAACAAAAAAGAATTGTTCTGCACCACCCCATCATGTAATTCTACTCACTTGTGCTGGCCCTCGCCAATGCAGTAGGGAATAGGATAAGTTTTGCTCGTGCAGAGCCGAATGACACCCTTCACCCAAGCCAGCTGGCCATAGCCCTGGCTCTCGTACGTGTCCGCCATGAAAGGTGTCTTTGTCGGGTTATCCGTGCACCCCGTAAATAAGTTACCCTGTACGCGACGCACAAAAGGCTGGCTGACTATGACGCCGTACATGTTCGCCGGGATATCGAATTCGAGGGAGTTTTCCTGAGACGTAGACCAGGACATGTCCAGATTCATGCCCAAAGACACGCTGATGATGTCTGAGCCCCCAATGGTAATTTCAGAACCGATGGTGAGCGAATTACTGATTTCGACCCCGTTGGAGACGCTGATGCCAGCGGAGCTACCTTCCAAGGAGGAAACGACGGGGGAGATGGCAACGTCCCAGTTGAGGAACTCTTCATCTGACATGACTTGGACCTCGGAACTCTGCTGGCAGCCGCGACGGATCAGGCCAGGTGTGCTTGTGGCATTGTATGATGTAATTTGTGCGGGTATAGAGGTGGCAGTCTCGAGAGCATCGTAGTCCGTTGCTTTTATGATTTTTGAGGTGCCGCCGTGGCCAAGGAGAATGATATCGTCGGCAGCTAGCATGCGAGGGCGAGGAGGCGCAGCAATGACCGTAGCTGCCAGACCAAAGACTGCGAAGAGAGCGGAAGAGATCATTGTGTTCAAAGGTAAAGATAGTCAAACTTGGTCAAATGTTGGATTGTGACTTTGAATTTTCAGTTCTTCAAGGCGTCAAAGAGAGTAAGAACCGGTGTGGGTACAAGGAGAAAGACAACTGAGACTGGATGAAGACTGAATATTCCGAGACCAAGCTGATGATGAGAGCGACCTGTGACCATTTTATCCTTCATTCTCATCCCTCCTATCTAGCCTCATATCTCCTCGTCTACTTTCTACGTATTGACCACGGTCCTAATTCTGGCAATAATTCAGAATTGTTAGGGACCTTTCCATCGCCTCACTCACCCCAGCCCGCATCGATAATACACAAAAGTAGTCTATACCGAGGACCGAGAACCGAGAACCTCGAGACCCTTTGTCCCAGTAGTCTCCCCTGGTCATCGCCGTCCACTTTTGAGGCTGAAGGATCTGAATGGGTCCTTTACCTCAACCAGTAATGTCACACGGGTCCTAACCGGATCTCCGCCATGGTCGAAAAGAGACGTGGAGTGAATACTAATCCGGACAGCGGCCGAGTGTTCCCCATGTCTGGCAATTTCACGTCTCTAAGGGTCAGTTACCGAATCGGGACGACCGTGATGGACTTTTGCTCCTTGGCATCAGACGACGGACGGTCTATGGATCTGGATAGGCGCAAGCAGTGTACTACTTTGCCCAATGCTCTGGCTGGCCGGGCAAGCTGGCTGGTCTGATGACTCTGGTACAATGTCCTACTGAACTTGGAGTGCGGTCCTTTTTCCGTATAGTTGCGCAGCGAAATAAGCATAAGTCTAACCTGTATCAGAATTCTAGACCACCAAACTATACAATCTGTGCCCCAAATGTGCCCCCAAGTCCCCATATGTAGTATAGAGCCAGCGACCCGATTGGTCTCTGGCTCGGCGACGAGTCATGGATTTTCGTGCGGCTGTCGGACATGAGCGTTGATGGATGCCAGTCTCAGGTGCCCATGCTCCAGAACCCCCCCTTGGCAACCCCATCAGTGCGTCTTTCGGGTCTCGATCCGGGCGCTGGTTATTTCTGCCCGGCGTGCTGCACGAATGCTGGTGGCCCACGCAGTTTAGGTGGTTCACGAATTGCCCGAGTGGGATGTCTCCAGCAACGCCTGGCTGGCTGGCCGGGGTCATGGTAAAGTCATACATTAGACAGCACCTTTGTAGTCTGTAGAGTCGTATTGCTAAGCCCCAGTTCCCCCTTTCTGGGAATTACATATTAGTACATAACCACACAGCGTTGCAAGCAAGCCTCATCCAAGTTGAAGAGTTTGCGCCAAGACCCTTCTTGGCAGCTTGGCTTAGGTAAGGAGAAAGTCCAACATGTTCACTTTTCCAAAAGCCGCATGTGCCGAGCCGTAAGTATCATCGAACTTCCGAGGGAAAGTCTTGTTGCTAACCGGGCTCACGAATCTGCGGAGATGCCCAACTTCGACCAAGCGGGAAATGAAGTACGACTTGTCTCCATCTGCATCCTCAACTGGGAACGACCAAATGGCAAAGATCCCTTGTGTCCTGTATTTCCGTTATTACAGAAACTAGCTGAGTCTTGGGGCTAATGTTGAACGTGGATATTTGTTTCAGAGACTCAAACATTATCGTGTCTTTTTGAGCGTTCCCCTGGAGGGTTTCTACCTTGTCAATCCGCTTTCGTTGGCTGGCTTTCTGAGTTCAGGACCCAACTACGAGAGACAGAGGAGCTGGCCAGCTTGCCGAGGACAAATGGTAGTTCTGAACTTCTGATCAAGTGCTGCGTCTTCTAGTCCAAGTTTGGGCAAACCACAGGGTCCAATAGCAGCATGATCCCTTGCCTGTTTAGGCTGCGCTATTATTCGACGTGAAGCGGGCCTGCAACTATGCACGCTCAACAGGAGAGTGACAATACTTGGCAGAATCCAACAGAAGTCCAGTGGTGGATGCGTAAATCAGGCTACGCTCTTCAGACATGAGCAGGCCTCAGATCGACCTTGAATGCCTCCTTGGCTGTGCGCTTTGAGTTTCGGGCAGCCCGGATGACTGAAAAGGGGGTTGATTCCTCTTTTTGAAAGACTCGTTGCAATACAGTCCATCTTCCTTAGCATCTGAACAGCTCAAAGATTTTCAACTACGCCTTTTCCGTCCCTTGCTGGGCACTGAAGGCTTGAATTCGTCACTGAGAAAAGTCACCTGACATGCCGCTGTTCAGAAGGGACCAATAAGTTGTATCTACGCCTTGAAACGCCCAATCTCCAGCCTCTGCTGTGATTCCAGGGCATGGCCATCCGAGGTAATCGGCGCTGAAGCCCGCACACACGTCCTCGTGGGGGATGGTGTTGTCCTGACCGAGGAGTGCTTCCAAGGACACTGCTGGAGGAGTGTCTTGCTGGAGAGATTCCGATGCCACAGTCGTTGTGTTTGCTGGTGTGGGCAGCTGTGAGTGACTAAGATCCAGCAAGTGCGATTCGGCTGTCTGATTTGCGGTGGTTTTGATATTGATGATTCCGAGATAAGGGATGCTCAACTGAAGATTCTTCACCTCTGATTCGGGGCAATGGCGTGGAGTTACCCCGTTGCAGCAGTCGACAATGGGGAGCAGCTGTTTGATAATCTCTGCACTCTCGCCGGATAGCTTGTCGTCGTTCAGCACAGCTAGTTCCTCCATTTTGGCCAGGACAGTTTCAGCCAAGGTCCGGTCCTCGCTCCGTTGTCTCGCCCAGTCCTCTTCACGAATGCCAGGAGGACGACTGAGGTGACCGAGAAGAAGCGTCATGGCGGCCATGAGCGACGAATAGTCAATATGGCGGCATGAGAATGCTGCGTTGTTGGCGGTGCGGAAGATGACGCATCGTCTCAGGACGGCCCTACTAGACTCTAAACACGTATTCTTGCTGTAGTCGAACCGGGTGTTTGTCTGGTTGCGAAGCATGTATGGGAGGTGTAACAAGATGAGCAAACTATGGTGGTGGATCTGGAGCATCAGGTGCGACATGATGCTCATCTGGCCAGTGGTGTCGGTGTAGTCGGGCACGGGCGGGATCTCCCACCAGCTGCGTCCCATGGACTTTGCCGCGTGCTCGAGCTCACAGTCTACAGATTGAGTGATGGCAAAGGCTTCTGTCGCTGCAGTGCGATTTCTCTCAATGATTCGGAGCGAGATGGCCGTATATCTCTTTTCCAGTTTCTCCATCGGCGTGTCACGGACCAGGAAGGTTTCCGACATGAAGCTGTTATCCTGCGTGCCGGCAGAGAGACCAAGGAGTAGGGATAAGTATCGATCGCAGGAATTGATACGGGACCACAGCGCATGAGAAGAAGGCATCGTAGAAGGGTCGGTTGAGGGATCACACGACTTCAACGGCCGCGAGCCATCGCGCTCGATGCCCATCAGTTGCGCTAAGCTAAGAGCTCTTCTCATGGCGAGCCATGCTTTGCGGAGGTTGCCAGAGTTGACGAGGTAGAACCCTTCGAGAATCAGACACTCCAAGCCCTCTGCAGAACCCACCAACTCGTCGTTGGAAGTGACGGCGCTGGCGGCTGCTGTCCACTCTGCCATCTTTTCATGGATGGAGCACTTCAGGCAAGCCTCGAGTTGAGAAACGTCGAAGCACGGCGGCATCTGCTGCAGACAAATGGTCAACTGAAGCAAATGCTTTGCCAAGATAGCCGGGTGCTTGGTGACATCTGGCATGGCAGTGAGAGAAGAAGTCGGCTGGGATTTGCCCTCGAGAATATCTTGGTACGAGTAAAAGATGATTAATACGAAGATTGGGCCTCTGCTTGACTGGACGATGGTCTGGGCATCCTGAAGAGATGGGAACACGGAGTGAATGTCGCGGCATATCTTATCGTACTTGCTGCCAGCACGAGGACGCTCCGCCGCAGGCGGATTCAGTGCGGATTGGGATAGGGGGCGGCCGGGAATCGGGGCGGAGACGGCGGTGGTCCCACTCACGGACTGCCAGGACGAGTCATCCGGGGTGACATTTGAATCGGAAACACGAAGGGAACCCTCGACCGACGGTGTTGGCGGGGTCGATTTGTTGACCGATGAAGGCTCTGGGCCCATTTTGTCGGCAAGCTTCACCATCAACTCTTCCAACCGTCCAAGACGCTGAGCAAGGCCGCGCTCAGGCGGGCCAGACGGCTCATCGTCGGTGAACTCCTGGCTCACGCAGGCGGCACCGCGAGCCTGGCAGCCATTGCAGGTTTCTTCTTCGTTGGAGGAGAATTCGCAGCGGATCTTTCTCTTCCTGCCTGGACGGGGTGTTAGTAAATCAAGAATAGCGATTGAATCGGGGAATTCGGCAGAGCTGGATCTCGCTCGGGAAACCGGAGCACTTCCACGGACGAACTTACACTGCCAGCAACTTCGTGTTCCCTTTCGGACTTTACGTTTCTTTGTCGGTCGTTCGTCCATCTTTTCGGATGTTGTTGTTATAGGCTTCAAACCAAACGACTTGAGGACGAATGCTGCCTTTACATACAGCCAAATATCACAACAGAGGAGGTAACTCGAGATACCAAAGCTCACTGAGTAAAAATCAAAAGTGATAACAAAGACGTGATTTCGTTTGGAAAGCCCAGATCATCTGCCGTGGGCAGCTCTGGCTTGCTGCCTGTCTCACTGATGTTGTTCATGTCGTCGGTGCTTACGCATCTTTCGTCCGCTTCGTCCGCTCGGAGGCCGAAAACGGACGAACATCGGGCCTGGAACTGAGATGGGTACGTATCTCTGTCGGATGATCGTTGCGCATGTCACGTGTCCTTTGTATTTTACGTGCCTCGATTGGAGAGCAATCCCCACTCATCTAAGCGACAGGCGTTCACTGGCTGCATCGATTGGATCTAAGGATGGCTAGATCAAATTAGGCAAGCGTCTTATCAGTGTTGAATCTGGCCCCGGTACGTACCTCCGCCGGGCCAATCTGCCTCCCCTTCTCTGCCTTTTGCTCTCAGCTGCTCCGTATCCCCCTCAACTCGCGATTCTTCGCAAAGAACTCGGGCCATTTTACCTGGTTGATGACTAACTCTCAGCATTGAGCGCGGCATTTGGACCAACTTTATTCACCAACCTTAGCCAAGTCTAGCGAGTCTTAACCAATCAGGCTTGTTGCTGTTGACGTGCAGCGGGGGGTCCTGTTGTCCTTTGTTGCCCCTCTGTTAGCTCGTTGCCTTACTGAGCACGAGTCCAGGGGTTGATGATATCGCAGGCCGACAGATTGATCTTGGCAGCATAACGACGACTGATTGTGGGAGATGTGGACGGGACTGGCGTGTGACGCTAGAGATCAGACCGGGCTTCAGCCTTAAAGGAGCCCCTCGGCTGGTCCAACTCCCCTTGACATGGGCCCCAAATCTGATTTCAAGTTCATCACCGTCGATGCCACTGAAGGGAGTTTCCAAACTGCGAGCAAATCCACCAGAAGTCATGCTATCCGAACTGCCATCCAGAGGGGCCGTTCGGAGCTGGGATCCTCGACGGCCTCAATTTCACAAGACACCATCAGGCAGAAGGCCCAGTTGAAGGGACGATTCAGGTTGGCGGGAACAACGCTCAAGTCAACCAAACCCAAGAGTCCAAAGCATCTGCAAGAACAAGAAAAAGAACAAGAGGATGTGCAGTCAACTCGCTGTTCCCATGTATGCTATTTGTCCCCATCTCTCCACATAACTCAGGCCGTCATCACTCACACTTCCGTAGTCTCCCTCCGACATTGCTGAGTTTCTGCACCAAGCATCGCTGCCACCCTGGGTACAGAGACTGGGGAGCGATAGCGCTGACCCCTTCAATACGCTACCTATTCCTAGTAGTCCTTGCGTGGACTCTCTGGTGAAATATTGTAAGAGCCGCAGCTTCTACCGCTCACGAGCGGACGCCGTCACGCCACGCCGCTGCTGTGCGTCTGAGCTAACTCTCCAGTCACCACCAGATTCAATCTCAACTCCACTACGATCGATACTCAGAGACCATGGTTTCCCTATGCTATGCAGAGCGCTCTCATCATGCGCGTTACGCTGGCCTTGGCAGCAGAGTTTCTGACCGCCACCATGCCTCTCCTTGACTTCAAGCTCCAGCGGGAAGGGTACCAGCAAAAGGGGGAGGCGATGCAGATGATCAGAGATCGTCTAGCTTCTCAAGAATCTGCCCGTAGTGCAAGCAATGACCTCTCTGTTCTTGCCGGCGTGGCCATGCTGGGAAGCGTTGAAGTAAGTAATTTCCCAGCGCTCATATACGAATACCACCACCTCACTTCGATGCCCCAGTTCTCACACACATGTTGGTAGGCTTTTCAAGGTCACTTTTCGGCGGCAAACGTCCACTTGACGGGGCTCCACGCCATGATAGAAGCTCGAGGGGGACCGGAGACGATCAAACACGACTACATCCTCTGCCGCTGCATCAATTGGTGTGTGACTTGACCTCCTTCGATTGCCCTCCACAACGAACGGTAACTGACCATAATCCCTCCCCCAGGATCGACATCCAAGTAGCCTCGGGTCTCGGAAGAGTGCCAAAGTTCCCCATGTTCCACACTCTCGCGCAGGTGTCACTCCCGCCGTCGGTCGTGAATCGCGCAAGGACGCCTTCCCTGCGACACCTGGAGAAGCTCGGCGGCCACAACCCCGACGAGAGCGACGAGCCGCTCAGGATCTTTGTGGCGCTGAGGCAGGCGATCCTCTCGCAGGCAGGCGGTGCCGTGTCCGTGGCCGCAGACGACATCAGGATCGTCATGAACACGGCTGATAGCACAATTCTGCACTTTTTATACGTGGAGCGCCGGACAGCGACGCCAGTGCAGAAACGGTTCCTAGTTCTCGTCTCTGCGGCCCACGTGTTTCTTTATACCGTTTTGCGAGAGATCCCGACGACGGGACACATGGTTCGGGTCCTCGTCAGGAGGATGCGCGACGCCCTCGATGACGCGGATTCCATTGCACTCATCTGGGTGTCTCACGATGCCGCCTTGTTGTGGGTTCTCTTTGTGGGCATCGTCGGGTCCGGAACAACCGAGGACCGCGAGTGGTTCTCGTCGAGACTAAATAGCTTACTGGAACGAGCCAGGGGTATTTTGCCGCCGGAACGATGCAGGCGCGAGAACCTGCAGCAACTCCTTTCCGGGTTCCTCTGGCGGGATAAGCATTGCTTACCAGTCTTGGATGAAGTATGGGCAACGTGGGAGCGCGGCCAAGGCGGTACTAGTGGTAGTGGTGGTGGTGGTGGTGGTGGTGTTGGTGTCATGTAGAAATGTGGAAAATGCACGGATGCAGCAAACCACTTGGAGTTCCCACAACGTCAAATAACAAACACGGGATTGGCCCAGTTGCTGCTTGCGGGCTCCCCGTGCGTGGCCGGAGCGTTCACCGCGCGAGGGATGCATGGTTCGGGGACTCCAGCTTGCGATATCGTCCTCTTCTCGGAGTGGTCAGCGGCTGGGATGGTCCGGTTTGCAGCAATCTCGGCCGTTGATGCGTTCGTCCGGCTGAAACCGAAAGGGACCATGGACTGGGAACATCATGACAACATGGTAGCATGGCAAAGAGAGAATGGCACGACTCAGGTTTGGAGGAATGTCATCTCCAGGAACTACCAGACCGGTTCAGAACAGAGTGCGACGATAATTTCGAGGACGACCGCCACAAGAACAGCGCGCGCCCTTTAACAAATTACAAACGCAAACTGGCCCCATCCCCGCAGTTCTACCCCGGATTCAATGACACAATCGGAATTGCCAACAGCTTCGTTCAGTCCATGTCCCTCACCCTCCCCTGCTCATGCTGGCCGCCCCCCGGTAACGAGGAGCGAGCAAAAGCCCGTCGCAAACCGCTTCCAGTTGCTCCTTCGTACGAAGATCTCGCACGCCAAAGCTGTGTAGCTCGGTTCTCGCGGCACGACGGCCGAGTCGTTTGACGCAAGTTTGAACCTTCGGATCCGCCAAACGCGGTAAATCAGCTAGTTTATCACCCTCAACTAGACGCCAATACAACCTGCTGATGCACAGTTGTTATCCATGGCCTTGTTTGCCTTGATTCGCCTTGTTCATCGACGTGTTGCGCTTTTCTCGTCACTCTTTTTTTTTTTTCTTTTCCGCCTAATGTCTATGAAACCAGTTTCGCTTTGCCACGAATGTGTCCAGTTAATGTCGGGCGAGAACTCGGCGTAAATGCAACCTCCTTTCTCAACACCCACCAAAACCACACCAGCCTCCGAAACTGTTATCTCTGCGGTTGGTAATGGTTGTATGTCAAATTATTGAGCAGAAAGTCTCTCTGGCCAGTCAGAGTTGGCCTAAAGAACTGGCACAAAAAGAAGACACACGCAAAAAACAGGGTCCGTATGGGTTCCGTTCACGCACGAGAGAAGTCTGTCCGGCATGGATACTCGCTCCAAAAACCCGCGTCGCATGAGATCTCGCCTCGCTCGCCTCGCTCAACAGGCGGCCCTGGACGGGGTGGCACGGGTGGGAAGACGGGCATATGCAGGGGGGATCAGCCCTTTGTGCACTTTGTGTGGCCACATGTGCAGGGAAGTACGTAGGAGGCGTCGACAAGCCTTTTGGGGCCTTCCAGTCGATCTTCTAGAAGCCTTCCCAATACGTGACAGGTGTGAGTGGGCAAAGGTGGGATCGGCATGGATCCACGACTCAAGGATGTCGGGAATCTACGGGACCGCGGCGGCGCTATTACGTCTAACTTTGCGGCCCTCTGCGGGTAAGCGGCCTTGCAACCCACGACTGGTTTAGCGCATCGAAGCAAGACACTCAAGACAATCCCAAGGCTTGCAGAAATCGCCTACGCCAGCGCGGGAAGGCAACTTGAAGGGGAGGAGGGGGACGGGTAGAAGGGTGGAAGGGTGGGAGAGATCCGAGAGACGTCTGCGCCTATGGGAGTCTTTTCCCACGAACGGGCTCAGGCCCCCCCCCCTTGTTCGGCAATCGCCACTCTTGGCTTTGGCTCTTGTTCGTTTTCGTCTGAAAAATTTTGAGCCTCATGCTCTTGGCCCAACGTCCAATGTTCAAAGTCACATATGACGCTCTTTTCCTCGCTAGAGTTTCAGCAACTCTAGATAAGGCAAAGTTTTCTCTTTCGTCCGTTTCCCTTCTCTGAAAGGAGCTCAGACTATCTCTCTTCAAATCCCAGTCACGTCAGGCCTCTTCCCAGCGCGCCACCGGTCGTATTTCGGGGTCGCCCGTGGGAACAGCAACATGGACTGACTCAAGGTGGGCGAGATGAGGCCACTCTGCGGCTCTGCTTCTGGGTCCTTTAGGTAAAGAATAGGTCACAATATCCACCCTATTACGATGCAAAAACTCTACCAATTGCCTCAGTCCCGCATTTACACGACCGTGAACAGAGCAACCCCGTCAACAACCCTCAACTTGCTGGCACGCGTTCCTAGTTTTCTTGACAACGAGAAATACAACTTTCCACTGGGAAACTCGGGGAAGCAGCACGCGGCCTCACGCAAAGACCAATGTGTTAATTCTGGAATCTCAGGGACGCTGGCCGATTTCGCGGGGAAAGTCTGCAACGGTTTATTCCCCCGCAATTTCACAAACGCACGGAATCCGGTCCCAAAGCAAGGGGGGCCGGGTTGATGATTCTCTTGTACAAAGTACGAGTCGTCGAATAGCAGAGCTTTCCGTGGGACTTGAGTATCCGTATGTCAGCCATCTAGGTAATCTAGCTGACGAACTCTTGCCGCCCACTCGCCCACTCTCTCGTCCCTCGTCCGTGGTAAGGCCATCTACCCATCCCCATCCCCATCCCATTCCATTTCCCAGGTGCCGGTGTCACCGCCCACGATCGCGGGGGGGCCAAAAGATAAGGACCCTGGTCCAATCATCGTAGGTTCCGGGTCTCAGTCGAGGTGAATTGCTTTCAACTCGACGAGGTCGAGCCCTCGGCCTGACTCCGGGGTCGGTGCTGATGCTCCGCCCTTTGCCACCATATATCCCGCCTCCGTCTTCCCATCTTCTTGTTGTTGTTTCTCTCTTTCAGTCCAACCGGCTCTTGACTCTTCATCTCTCTCTCTTCTCTCTTTCTTCAACCGAAGTCAGACCTGTTCAACCCGGTCCGTCCTGTTGTGCGTCCGAGTGTGTTTGTCTCATACAACGCCCTCAACTCCAACAACACCCATCTCGCCTTTGACATCATCCCGTCAAAGCGTCCTCCCCTCCTCCTCTTCCTCCGCCCGGGCCCCACGCCACACACAAAACTTGGACTAGAGACCAAAAAAACCACACTCTCTCCAACCTTACACACACTCCAACAAGGAGCCCATCATGGATCACGACCAGATTAGACAACAGCAGGCTCATGCCGCCGACAACAAGGACACCAAGTCCTCCGACGGCGCCGCCGTCGCCCCCCAATTTTCCCGCGATGCCGTCTTCCCCGGCGAAGTAGTCGGCGAAGTCACCGACCTCAACCGCCAGGACCTCGAGAAGCAAAAGGCCGCCCAGGGCAGCGCCCACTTCCACCGCCTCGGCTGGAAGCGTCTCACCGTCGTCCTCATCGTCGAGGCCATCGCCCTTGGCAGTCTGTCTCTTCCCGCCGCCTTTGCCTCCCTCGGTATGGTCGCCGGCGTGATCGTCTGCGTGGCCTTGGGCTTGATAGCCATTTACACCAGTGACGTCGTCGGTCAGGTCAAGATCAAGTTCCCTCACGTGTCGCACTACGCCGACGCCGGTCAGCTCATGTTTGGCCGCTGGGGCTACGAAATCATCGGTGCCATGTTCGCGCTTCAGTTGACGTTCCTGGTTAGCTCTCACACCCTCACCGGCGCCATCGCTTTTGGCAACATCACCAACGACGGCGCGTGCTCCATTGTCTTTGCCGTCGTCTCCGCCATTATCCTGCTGATTCTTGCCATCCCCCCGTCCTTTGCCGAAGTCGCCATCCTGGGATACATTGATTTCGTCTCCATCATTCTCGCCATCGGTATCACCATCATCGCGACCGGTATCAACAGAGGTGAAATTACCACCGCTCCCTGGTCTGCCTGGCCCAAGGATGGTATCACGTTCGCCGAGGCCTTCATCGCCATCACCAACGTTGTCTTCGCTTACAGCTTTGCCATTTGCCAGTTCTCCTTCATGGATGAGATGCACACCCCGACAGACTACAAGAAGTCCATCTGGGCCCTTGGTCTGATCGAGATCTTCATCTATACCTTCACTGGCGCCCTCATCTACGCCTTTGTTGGCCAGGATGTCAAGTCCCCTGCCCTGCTGTCCGCCGGTAACACCATTTCCAAGATTGCGTTCGGCGTCGCCCTGCCCGTCATCTTCATCTCGGGATCCATCAACACCACCGTTGTCGGCCGCTACATCCACGGTCGTGTTTACAAGGACTCCATCATCCGCTTCATCAACACCAAGATGGGCTGGATCACTTGGCTCGGTCTCATCACCGTCATCACCATCATCGCCTTCATCATCGCCGAAGCCATCCCCTTCTTCTCCGAGCTTCTGTCCATCAGCTCCTCGCTCTTCATCTCCGGCTTCACTTTCTACTTCCCTGCCCTGATGTGGTTCATGCTCATGCGCGAGGGTTCCGTCTTTGCCAAGGAGAACCTCATGAAGACTGCGCTCAACGGTCTTGCCTTCATCATCGGCATTGTTGTTCTGGTTTGCGGTACCTACGCCAGTATTGTTGAGATTGTGAGTTTCCCTGTATATGCCCACTCAAGTGTAACCATGCTAATTGTCTCGAATAGGACCTCAAGTTCAAGACTGGAAAGATCAGCAGCCCCTTCACCTGCGCTTCCCTCGCTTAAATACCAATCTCGTCGAATTTGTAGTTTTGATAGTGCAGATAATAATACCCCTTGAGTTATCTTGTAACATGCAGCAAAGCGTCTCAGCTCGTGCCATTCTATTGAGAGAAGCAACCATAGTAGCCCTTTGAGGGTGCAGTCCGATTTGTGCATGTTCAAGACGTAAGCCCTTGTGAAGAAGCCGAAGCCCGATAGGATTGCTCTCGCTGGACTATTAACTGCTTGTGGTCTGCTGCTGCTGAACCACACGTTGCTGTAAGATGTGTCTTGCCGGCTGCAAGACCATCTTGCTAACGTGTACACTCATCATTAATAATGCTTTCACAGAGTTCATAGGATCTTATTTAATAACAAAACCAATTGCAAGTACTAACTCCATGATCGATAAAACAGGCCCATGGTACCAAAACTCCAGGCCGAGTCCAATTATCCCACACGCCAACATTTCCATTCTATCCCCTTCCCCACCCCTTCACCAGCAACTCAACCACCAGCTCATTTCTCCGTTTCCTACGTGTTGCCCTTGTCTTAGTCACTTCCGGTGCTCTTCATCCAGGCTTCACCTGATTCGCTTCCGATACTCTTGAGCCAAACGCCAATCATGTTTCGGCGGATTTTCTGTGGCTCATTATTGAGCACCAGTACTCGAACCCTGTTGCCCGGACCCCGACGAAGCCGGTCGATCTCGTTCACCTTCGGGAAGGTCAACATGTCGGTAAACTCGAATATTGCCAGTGACTGATAGTCTCCGAGTATGGCGTAGGGAGCGTCTTCCACGACGGCATGGGTGGCAATCCCGTGAAGCGTTGTGGTGACTTCCTTTTCGAACGGAGACTTGGGATGATTTTCGATTCCGAAGGTCGACTCAAACTCACGATTGTGAGGTGTCGTGTAGTTTCGGAGGCCACTTGTGAGGCGTAGGAAGTCTTGCGCAATCCCCTCATTGTTGGCCGTCTCGAGCATCTCCGTCAGCTCGGCGGCATTGTTTTGTACCTCCTGCCACAAATTCAGCAGTCCCACAGGGGCCTTGTCGAGCTCTTTCTCGAACTCCTCCACGACGACCAGGCCTCTATCCTTGTGCTCGGCGACGAGCATCGATTCAATGGGTTCTTGACCAGGAGCGGTCAGTTTACACTTGGCCGTCCAGCCTGGGACGGGAATGATCGACGCTGGCTCGAATGGCTGGTGATTGTGGATCTTGATCATCTTCCCAGCTTGAGTCGTTCTATCTATCACCAAAGTTCCCGGCATGTGCCCTTTGACGAGAACCAGCCCAACATCTCGGTTGATGGAGTCTTCGATTGATCTAGCCACGTCCGATACGTTTCGGTGAAACAGGATGGTGGGGTTGGGAGGTCCGAGGTCGACGCCGTCAAGCAGTCTGAAGTCTGCAGTATCTAAAAACCGATCCGCGACCTTGGTGTAATAGTCGCTAGGTGCTCGACTCAAGACCCTTGGTAAATCGATCTTGTTGGCTGTTTCACCTGCATCGCGCAAGTTCTTCGACTTGGGGCAATCTCCAATTGAGATGTCCGGCAAAGGGGCGTCGTTGCGAATAGCTGCCACGATTGGCGGCTTGGCCTGTTGGTCACCCATTGTGACGTGTCTGCAAATTGGTATCGGTTACCTGATTTCTTGATGGGTTAGCCAAAGATACTGATGTAGGGTGAGGTAGAGTAAGATACCTATTCGGCAAATATTCCTATTTTGTCTAGACAGACCGACGGGATGACTGAGGAAATAACAGTCGGCGATTGTGGTTGAGAATCGTTGAGGGGAGCAAGTTGGTCGTTGGTCTCCGGGAAAACAAAGACAAGGTGGCTCAAGAAGGGACGCGTGTTGAGGTAAGGTAGGTACGCCTGGGAGCCAAGGTAGGCGTAGGTAGTAAACCTTCAGGTGAGGCAGGCGCGTCCCGTTGTAGGGCGGGTGGAAGGGGGAGTAGCGGTCAGAGTGAGGGTGGGCATATCTGACCTGGCCCTCATCTAGCCCTTAAAGACTACATGTATATTCACTTACCTACCTCAATGATGAAGCTGATCAGGAACACTTATCTTATCACGTGATGAGTGATGAGTCTCGAGTATGGTGATTGATGCTCTCATGACAAGTCTCTGACCACTGTCAGAGGAGACCAGGACGTGCCCAAACGAATAGTGGGGACGGGAGGAATAAGGTACTTGCCTTGATGGGGGGGAGACAGATCGAGATTGGCCAGTGCAGTTGCGGAGCCGCAGAACCTTAAGGTGCCTTCCTCGATTTTCGTACCTCACCTCACCTTACCCAGTGGGTGGCATTGTTGGCCGCCCAGCAACCTACCTCTATTTTCATTAAGGCATCCATACTGTTTTATCCCTCTTAAATCTCCTGTTGTTCTTATTGTTTCCTATTACTTTTAATATCTGTCCTTTTCTTTTTCTTTTTCTTGTCTGTGATGTAGTCCTTGAGAATACTAGGTAGCCTTTAGTTACAATACAAAGAATCGGTCTCGTAATCATATTTCGTTGATAGGCATCTTTTTGGATCACCTAACTCCGAGGTGACTACTAAGGTACCTGCTCCCGTGAGTGGGTCTGACCATACACATTTGGAAGGTCCTCGTGATACCACCTTTGTGCCTTCCCTACCTCCCATGCCTCACCTTGGTACCGCACAAGGTAATCCGAAGCCCTTACCTACCTTGGCGCTTTCAATCTTCACTTTCGCCTACCCCAAGGTTTTTCATTCATCCTTGCCGTCCTTCATCCACAATTTTGCTCAGCTTTTCGTTGTACAACTGAGTTTCATCGCGAACCCGTCGATTTTGTCTCTCAAATTCAACAGGTAAGTCTACTTCCATTCAGCCTAAACCGGCATCAGACTGATCAAGGATATCAAAAATCAGACTTTGAGACGAAATCGACATGGCTTCTTCCTCTCCCGAGGAGACAGCTGTCAGACGTCGAAGGGAGGATATGGACATTCTCCCCGAACACGAGAAGAATTACTCGCCAGGACGACGACTTCTTCTCCGATCACACAAACCGCTTCCGCCCTACGGCGATCATCACTACCCGCTTCCGGATGGCTGGAATTCTCGCGACATGATGGTATCCGATGAAGAGAAGGCCTTTTCGCTCAGACGACTGGTTTTCCACCCGAACAATGCGCCCAAGACCATTGACAAGAACAACCAAGATGGCCATGCTGCTTCCATGGAGGTCGAGATCATTCGGATGATTGACGGCAGTGCTGGATACCATCCTGGTCCCCAAAAAGTCCTTTGCAAAGTTGTCGCTTCGCCATCGGCCGCCCCAAATGAACGAGAGCATGAGATCCCGTCTGAGGGACAGCTACTCTTCCTGAAGGTGTTCGATCCCTTGTTCTGGCACAAGACCATCGACATCACCAAGCGCCTCATCAAAGTCACAATCCAGGCCGACTCAGCATTCAGTGACGAATTCGGCGCCTACAACCGCCTCTTTGAAAAGGAGCTCACTGGCTTCCCCCATGTCGCTCCTCAATTCTATGGAGGATGGATCACGGAAGTCAAGTCGATCAACCCATCGTTCGCAGACCGGACCCGGGATGTTGCGGTGCTTGCAACCGAGTTTATCGATGGCACCGGCCTCGACCAACTCTTTGCACTTGATGGCCCCAAGTATGAGGTGGTTGAGCTATACAACAGCGCCGAGTCACGCGATGCTTTCACCACAGATCTCGATACAAGAATGGATACTATAAAGCAGCTCATGGACGGTACTATGTCGGAAGAGTACATTGGAGTTGATCATTGCCGTTTTCACTCTAGCAATGTTATAATTTCCATGCGAAACCTCGGTGAGCCGCTGGAGAAACCCAGGGCTGTTCTGATTGGCTATGGGCAGGCGTTGGTCGATGATTTGCGCAGGGAGCCTGCTGACACGTACAAGAACTATCCAACAAAGCCCCATCCGTTCCTTCGATTCGGCTGGCAGAGACTGGAGTCTTTCGCAGGCTGGATCCCTGCCCATTGGAAAGGTCCGAACATCAACCGCCCGCGTTTGCTCGACCAATGGGTCGTTCAAACATTTGGTCCTTTGACGCCCAATGAAGAATATACCTTTCTTGCGTCCGACGATCTGGCCGAGCTCGAGGGAACATCTACAAGCGCCTTGCCCGAGGAACAGCCTTAGAGTGGCAGTCACCTGGAAACGGTTGCCCCGACGGTCGCGACTACTTCTGACCCCTCGGTAAAGTCCGTGGACTCCGACAATGCCCATGTCTCAACAACGCTTCCTACCGAGGAAGATCACAATGAGAACATTCCCAGCCTGGACGACAAAGACGAAGCAGCCGGTCCTTCTTCTGACGACTCCCACCCTATGCCGCAGTCTCTACTGTTGGCTGGAATATCTGGCGAGCGCGACTCTTACACTGAGTCGCAAGATTCGAGGCCCACTGATCAGGACATTGACTCTTTAACAACTGATTTGGAGAGTCTGACACTCGAGGACAAATCGGACAACATTTTCTAGGAAGAGAGGGGCGGCACTGCAAATTGGTATTGGGATTGACATTGAGGTAGTTAGCGGTAACTTGGTGGATGCCAAGCGGCGGCACATGATGGGCACAATCAAGAAACATAACTGAATTGAGAAGTTGCTGCTGTATCCTTTATCCCACTCTCAAGCTTCCTCTCTACAGATACAGACGTGAAGTAATGTTGATGCCGTAGGAAACGTGAGCCTTTCTGCACGGCAAGTTCCTCAAGCCCACATCAATCGCCCCCAATAGCCCCCAATCGCCTCTATAAGAACCCATCGCCAAACGTCCCCTTTGGTTCCAGAACAATTCACAAATGCTGGCCAGAAACTTGCAAACATTAGTCATGGAGAACGTGAATGCTGCGTAGCCAGGCACCGAGAACGACGCGTCGGATTTGAGCCGGGTTTTCGACGACCACTGCGCTAACAATCTGGCCTGGTCCTGCTCGAAGCCGCGTGATCTCGTCCTTTGACATGGAGTCTCTCGTGAGACCCTCAAACTCAAACATGATCAAGGATTGATGCTCCATGAAACCGACAAAGCGAGCGGGAGTGGTGATAGCGTAACTCGTCGATTGATGCAGTGTCTCCGTGACATGCGGAGTGAATGGGGTGGCTAACTGCCGACCCAGCGTAGACTGCTTCTTGTAACGAACATTCGACTGTCGAAGAGCCTGGGCCGCGGTGTAGGCGCTTGCGACGGCTTGGTCGTTACCCGAATTTGTCGCGATAGAGTTCGAAACCTGATTGCCACGTTCCGCGAATTCCTTCATAGCACCAACCAATCGCTCGTGAGTCATTTGCATTTCGCTCTCAAACTCCTTAGTGAAGACCAAGCCCCGGTCCTTGTATTCCAAAACGAGGTTCGAGAGGATCTGTTCTTTGCCGGGTTCGGGGGTGTAGGCACACGCGGCTGTCCAGTCGGGGATGCATGTGATAGAACTGGGCTCATACGGCTCGGGGTCAGGAATGTCGATTTTGTTGTATCTCTGTGTGGTGCTGCTCATCGTGAGTGTTCCATCTGGGTGCCCCCCAAGAAGCACCAATGCGATCACTCGGTTGATGGTTTCGTCAATGGACCTTGCAACATCTGACTCATTGCTGTGAAGCACAATCGAGGGATCTGGTCTGCCAGTGTCTAGACCAGCCAATGCCTCAAAGTCGGCATTGTCTAAAAAGTCATCTGCGACATCTGTATAGTATGCGGCATTGCGGTATTTGAGAGCCTTGGGTAGCTCAACCTGATGGCAAGACTCGCTGGCTTTGTGCAAGTCTTTCGGATGGCTGCGAGGTGCGACTTGGATGATGGGAAACGGCGCGTCGTTACGGATTGCGATGACAATCGGCGGCTTCTGCTGCTGATCTTCCTCCATTGCATCCGACATCGTGTCTTGGAGGATGCGATGGCTTGCTACTCGATGAAGTTAGTTGCAGTAGAAAAAAAACATCGCGGGTTTGAACGTATAACTGACGAGATCATCTGGTGTGTAGGTTTTTAGTACGGCTGATGGACATCGACAGGCGGGTGATGGCGAGATCCGTAGGACAACCACAAAGAAGTGATATTGTGAGGTCCGCCCCTCTAACAACACGTATATATTCGTTTAGGGCTAATGGCTGTTCTCTGAGTCTGGCTGCCTTAGGTAGGTACACGACTGCAAAATCTCGTCCGGTAGCGACTTCCCCTGATGATATCAACCACCTCATTCAAGAGCTTGCCGTATACCACGTGACCACAGCAGAGGATGTGATTGACCTGGCCAATGGAGAATAAAGCAAAATATGTTCAACGGTATGAAGTTTGACAATGGACTACAACCTGCTTCCCAATGCTCTTTGTGAGTGTACTAATCTATTTGCCATTTAGGTCCTGTACATCGCGTGTATTCTAGCAACTCCTCAAGATGATCAAAAACCCAGTCAGTAAGGTACTAGGTAGGTAGGTAGTCGAGGTTGTCACTTCATTTCCGACCTTGATGTTGACCGGTAGTTCCATCACTTTGACAGCCGAACCAGGCCGTGCCCAGCTGGGATAGTGGAGATCTAGACGGGGTGAAAGTGGGTGGTGCCTTCCGTTTTCTGAGTCTACTGGACGATTTGATGGGCTTTCATTGGTCTGATTAAACAGCCCCAATTAAACGGAACTCTCGCTTAAGGCACCTTGATACGCTTAGGTAATCCGCTTTGGAGATACTGCCGTTATGTTCCTGTGGAGGTCGCCGTGGTTCTCCAATCAAACTCCTCATTCCATTCTTCAAGTCAACCTTGGGTGCCTTACCTTACCTGGTAACTTACCTTACCTTGACTCAAGTTCGGAAGGGGACTTTCATGCATCCCCTCAAAGACGTTCAATCGGATATGTCAGACAGTGTGACCAGAGGAGACAGGCGACGTCGATTCGCCAAGGTTAACATCCTTTGGACGTCCTTGTCAACATTTTTGGTAGCTGATGATCTCGACAGGCCTGCGACTTGTGTCGCATGAAGAAGGTCAAGTGTGACGGCGGTAGACCCAAGTGTACTAGATGTCTGGAGCTGTCTCTCATGTGTAACTATGCCGACGTTGTTAAACCATTCAAGCGGCGGACGCGGTCCAGTAGGGCGCAGGCAACAGCTGGAACCTCAGTGTCCGGATCACCTGATGATGGCTCGACTCGAGCCGAAGTATGTGTCCCAAATCATGACAATTTACAGGCAGCACCCGTTTCTCAAGAGCCCCCGTCCGAGCTGCACAGCAGCGGCAGCACTCCTCCTTCATGCGGAACGCGACCCTCTCCTTCTATAGGTTGGTTTGAATCAGAGATCAGTGGTTGTACTAGGGAAAATGTTCGTTGTCATTGACGATTTATCTCTTCAAGACTCTCTCATGGGTGCAGGACGAGACTTGAGATATTTCGGTACGAGAGGTCTCTATTCCGAACCAAATGCAAAAGTTGATTCCCTCTAGGCCCATCTTCCGCTATCGCGTTATTTCGAACTCGACCGCCACCGTTCGACGAGCAAACAGCATCGGCCCGGCGTCCAAATACCCAGTCGGGCTCAAAAACAGGATCTTGGTCTCTATGGACTCACTCCAAATTACAAGGAGTCTTTGAGAAACGGGTTCACTGCCATCTGCCGTCGTGGCCTGAAGCTCTTTCACTGGTTACGGCCTTCTTCGAGGAAAAATACATGGCTTTACCGCTCTTCCACCCACCTGCCTTTGTCGCACTGCTTGGTCAGCAATATTCTGGAGATTTCGATGGTGGCCCTGCCTGGTGGACCTCATTCAACGCTGTTCTGGCAATTTCTCAAAGGAGACGCGTTGAACAAGGGATGTCTGACGACAAGGAACTGGCCTGGGGCTATGCGGCCAACGCACTCGACACGGTTCTGGACATACTCATGAGGGCCACTCAAGTCATGTCGGTCCAAGCTCTGCTGATATTAGCGTGGTTTTTTCTGGGTACTCCCAATCCTCAGCCCAGCTTCATGTTAGTGGCCAACGCCATTCGACTTGCACACACCATCGGGTTACACAGAAAGGAGTGCAGCTCGTCGCTGAGCCCTATAGAGAAAGCGACGAGAGCCAATGTATTCTGGCTTGCTTTCTCTCTGGACCGAGAGTTGAGTCTACGGACCGGGCGGCCTCCTGCGCAAGATTTCGGCGGCTTTGAGGTTGATTTGCCTGATTTACTGTTGCAGCATGACTTCAGCACCCATGCTCCTTCCAACGGGCTGGTCAACATTTTCATAGCCGCTTCTCGCCTGGCTGTCATCCAAGCTAAACTATATTCCAAGATTTATCTTGGAGAAGGGGTTAACCCAGGCGTCATTTCAGATGCTACGCAAGCACTAAACCAGGACTTAGATGACTGGCGAGCGGAGTTTTCGACAGTCTTGGATCTTGATAGTCATCCCGAGCTGACCAACTACTCTTCTGTTCTACGCTTGAACTACACCTATCGGCATTGCGTGATTCTGGTTCATCGGGCACAGAGCGAATATGACTGGAGGTCTTTGGCGTCGTCGGAGCGGTCATCTACAGTTCTGTCAGGCCAGGTCACAACCTCTATTCAGAACTCTGTGGATGCTGCTAGAGCAATTCTCCAGCTGGATGTACTCGTCCCGGATACCTGGAAAAGCTTGACTTGGTAAGTAATCCCATTGTGCGAACCGTGCCGCAATCTTTACGAACAGTTGCTAATTATTCCTACTAGGGACGTGATTCCGATCAGTGTCACTGCCACCCTCATCCTGTCCCTTTATACTTTGCGTCGACCCCGCACACCAAACGTCGCCGAGGACCTCGGTTCTGTCTCAAAAGCTCTGAAGCGTCTTGCCTCCATCGAACTTTCTGAACCTGGCTCATATTTGACTCCGGTACGAACGGTGTGTCAGGATGCGTACAGGGCTGCCCTAGGGGCCTTCAATACGTCCAACAGCACATCATCGCAACCAGGAAATACGACCTCTGACCAAGGCCAAACTGCCGCTCACGGCAAACAAGTCCACCAAGAGAGCACTTCGGACACCATGCGAGACTCTTCTCAAGTGGCTTTATCAGATCTTTCTCCCCTGCTCGAGCCTCATCACGAAGCAACTCCGAATCCAAGCAACGGGATCAACGGAACTAGCTTTTTGCCGTTTGACCAGAATACCCTCGATTCTTGGGGTGTTCCTTGGGGATTTGAACATCTTTTGGGAGACGATACTTCGATGTTCATCTGATAAGCTAAAGCGTGCCCGAGGCTATTTGCCATTCCGGACGAAGATACATACAACAAGCTTCATGAGATCCACTCGGGCTTCGACCTTCCTCTTCGACCTGTCGGCTCCTCCCACCCAATTTGAGTCGTTTGAAACTTGAACGCGGGAGCCAGAACTCTGATGTCCTCGTCGAGCCCGTAGTTCCGTCCGCTCATGTCCCAGAAGTATTCGGGATGGGTGAAGATGTCGGGGCGAATCTTCTTCCAAGACTGGTGCGTCTTACCAACTAGAGTGCCCATATCGTCGTAATGCCGCGGGCTGAAGTCGGGATCCCGGGCTCTGAGCTCTCGTTGCTGCTCTTCGGAGTAAAGGCCCAGGTTATAGTACCAAATATTGTACTGCGTCAAGCTGATGTCAATATCAAACGTGACATCCTCTGATGTACGAGCAATCAAAGCCTGGATGGCAGCCGTGGCACCAACCAAGCCTGTCTGGTAATCAGAGTTGGCTGAACATTCGTTAGCAAGCATCCATGTGCACCAGCGAGTCCGAATGACTTACGCAAAAGCGGGACAACAGCCTCATCTAGGCCGAGAAATTTGCCTTGCAGATGAGAAAGCCCAACCAAGCAGTCACTAATCTGCTGCCATCCAGATCGATGAGCTAGTGGTCCCTTGAATCCGTAACAGTTCTCCCGCATGTAGATCAGGCTGGGATTCAACTCTCGCAAGGAGGTCGTATCGAATCCCAGTCTCTTTAGAGCACCTGGACGATATCCATCTACTAGGATATCGGCACCCTTTACGAGTTCAGCAAAAGTCCTCTTGCCATCGTCCGTCTTGAGATCAATGTTGGTATCCCGTTTTCCCGTTTGCAAGTCTGGCATTGTCGCCCCAAAGTCGGGCAGCTTATCGCATGACACGCGGAGAACATCGGCTCCGAGGACGCTCAGCATCTTGGACACCGCCGGGGCCGCAATGACCCGGGAAAAGTCAATGATCCTGATGCCCGCGAGCGGCTTGAACCCCTGATCATCTCGCGCTTTCGGCCACTCTTTCCTCGGAGCGGGCACTCGGGTCATGTTCCATAGTGGTTCCTTGGACATGGTTTTGCCTTGCTCGCTGGTGAAGAACTCATCTGGTGTGTAGCATACGACACCTGCTTGTTTGTACTTCTCGTTGGCGACTTCTTCGATTTCTTTGGAATGCCAATGGGCGACTTTCTCGGTGTAGATCTTGATGGCTTCTTCTGGGGTCACGTCGACATCTTCAACACCCAACATCTCCATTGTTGGCCCAGCGTTCATCGACCCGTGCAAGTGGTACCATCTGCCGTCCTTGGTTTTGTAGACATTTGTTGCGTACCGCCTGATGGGCTTTGAGGACTGGTGTATGTCCATCTTGGCAATCTCTGCCGCCATCTGCGGGTTCTGAAGAAACTGCTTGCCGCCGACTGTTGGCAGCAGAACGGATTCCAGGAAAAGCGTCGCGGCGTCGGTGTTGACTTGGACGTCTTGATACTCTATGCCGTACCTCTCTGCCGCAGCAACGTTGGCTGCGGTGGCTAACAGGGCGGTTAGAGAAGCGGATGACTCGGTGATTTTGAAGGGCGTGAGGACGAATGGTTTTGCATCATCTCCAAGGAACTTGACTTTTGTAGCTGCTTTCTTGAAAGAGTCTGGGAGTCGTAGGGCGGGGTCGGCAAGCAAGACATCGTTGAGAATTCGAGATGCCTCGGAAAAGACTGAATAGTCTGCCATGGTTGCAACCTGTGGTGAAGTACGAATGATTTCAACGATATTGTCATTCCTACCAAAGTTGTAGGAAGTCATATGGTCAAGATCGGCCCTATATACATGTCCTTTGTGCATCTCAGAAACTCCCCAGGCCAGGGATGTTGGGGACGCCTTCATGTCGTCAGTGCCACAGCAGGTCAGAACTCCGGCGGATTCGCCTCTCCGATGTTTCGGGCTCGGCCCGATGTAGCAATCGTCTGCCGGCAGATGAAAATCCACAGACGATGGCACTAAGAAAACATCTCCTAGTCATGCGGAGTATTGGCGAGTCTCTCATTTGACCCGCTCGCATTTCTAGCTGGGACTCGTTTCACCGGAGGCATGTTGGTGGGTCTTGGTGCCGGAGTTTCGCGTTCGGAGTTTTGGTCACGGAGTTTTGGTCACGGAGTTCTGAGCTCCAATTGTGACATCAACGCCTGGCACAGCTTCCATCGTTGATCTAGACCCCGCTCATGTCGGAGAGTGGCCTTCGGTTTTCGGATCCAATAGTAGGCAATGGCTATCTATATATGAGGAAGCCGCCCACTATTTACTCATGGTCGTAAGGACTTGAATGAGAATTAGAGATGGTGTCCGATCGTGAAAGCGACAGCTTTCTACCATTCACGCATGAAATTCTCAGTCTGTTGATCACTGGAATTAGAATATTAGAAGCTACCTTGTTTGTGAAAATTACTAAGAGAGCGACAGCAACACTTCGCCAATCTTGCACGTCTGCATCAGACTGCAGCCTACTGAGCCAAGTCAGGGTTGAACTCCAGCGCCAACCAGACATCGACGTTCTTGCCCTTTCCTCCCTGCCACTTGTGCCATGGGTAAGAGACAACATTGTTGTGCCCGCGGACGGCATCGCCGTACGAGTCGCGGTACCACAGACCTCCATGCTCGTTGAGACGGGGAAGTGGGACCTTGTCGAAGTCATCCGGCCCGGCAGACTCAGGCTCCTTGCCTTCCTTGAGCCTCCACATACCTCCGGTCTCGGTTCCAGGGGAGAGACAGATGTGAATCTCCTGGAAGATATCGTTACCATGGTTGTGAACTCCACAATTAACATTGTGACCTGCAGAGGATATGGTAAGCAAATCGATCAGAAACAGTTTCTGCTCCTGGAACACTATTATAACTCACCAGCAGTCCAGAACTGCAGATGCGCGATCTGTGATTTGTCGTCTTGGAATCGGAAGTGGAAACCAGACATGTTGGTGAAGTCAACTCCCTTGAAGTTGTCACCCCACCAAAGATCTTCAACCTTGGTGAACTTGAGGTCGGGGAACTCCAGGCCAAGTTCTTTGGTGTTGAACGTTGTCTTGACGGGGACATCCCCGGCCTTCTCCCATACGCCAGGCTCGCCGAGAGAAACGATTCTCAGGATGATGGCCCCCTTCTCTTTGTCGGCGCTGAGTTCTTTGTCTTCGCTAGAGATAGGCGCGATCCGGGGGAAGGGAGGCAAGCCGAGCGCTGTACGAGTGCCCTCGATATCAGCAACGGAGCCGTAGAGGACCTTGATGCCATCCTTCTTGCCCACGGGGATCTTTGCTCCAAGAGGGTGAATTTCGATGCTAATTGCGTAGTTTGCAACCTCGATCAGAGGGAAAGACTGTTGACTCTTGACTTCCTTGGGCCGAGCCAGATACACCAAGCCTTCGTTATCCCACACCGTAGGTACGATGTGACGCTCAGTCACGGCGGGCTTGGGCTTGGCAAACTTATTGACGTGAAGCGTAATGACGGGCTTGGGCTCTTCGTAATACCGAGGAACATTGTACTCGACCGAGATCAAGTCAAGCTTATCAGAACCAGTGAAGTTGCTACGAACGTGCCGTGTCAGTATTATACCAGCCAATCCGACACGGCTTCGGTAACTTACCCAATTGCGATGCGAGCTGATGATTCTTCTGCGATCTTCCACTTCGCGAACAATCCCTTCTCGACATCGATTGCCTTGTAGTACATGATGCCCTACGAAACTTGAGCTGCTAGGGTCTTGAAAGGACCAAATGTTGCGTTTCTACTCACCTTGTTTGGGTTGGGTCCCTTTGTCGGCTGTAGAACTGGATGTCAGCAACCAAAATCTTGTCATAGATGCGGGGCGTCATGCAGACTTACGACAATAGACTCCAGGTCCTTGTCGCGATCCAGAGATCCGAACAAAGCCAGAAGGAACTCATCGTCGCCATCGCCTACACGTAGAAGACTCTGGGTCAGCCAGCCGTCAAAAGCATTTGTTCTCAAAGAAACCTACCATCGAAATCGGCACAAACAATGTAGTGGCCGGGTCCATCACCGTACTTCATAAGCTGGTTGGGCGTGCCATATATATCCAGGATGTGGCGCCTCCACTGTGTGTCTTTCATACCACGACCAACCTTGGACAAGACGCAGGCCGTTGTACCGTGAAAGGGGTCCAGCGTCGCAATGTAAGCAAACGGATCGTCACCGATCTTGCCAGCATCAGCGCAGCCAGTGCCCCAATGGTCACCAGATCCCGGCGATAGGGAGTTGGGCTGTTGTCGGTCCTCTTTCGGCTCTCCACTCGAGAGGAGCTGTCGCTTCCACGAGCCCTCTTCGTAGTAAAGCCAGTTGGCACCTTCGCGGGATGAGACCATGATAGAATCGAGTCCAGTGGGGCCATTGAATCTGAATTTTGTTTAGCTCCCGGAACTTTTGCTCCTCTCCTCGGCGTGCGGAGTGAAAAGCGTCGACCTACTTCTTAACCGTCAACTCATGAATGACGGTGAAGTTCTCATCGTCAATGATTGAGCGTTGCCACTCAGTGCTGACAAGTGTTAGCAAGTCACTATGTTGGTTCAAGGCAGTTGACTCACGCATTGAGGACATCCTCAGGAGCTTGGAAGCGGATGATGGGGATGGGGGTGATCTGTAGATAGTGATTAGAGAACAAGAACAGAGCGCATGCTGCCACGGCGACGACAGACTAACCTTGTCGTGCGGTCCACAAACAACCGATGCGGCAACAATTTCCATTACGGATCTAGTCAAAGGTTAGCCCAATGAACAGCAGTCTAGATCTCGTGAATTTCCATCTTACTTTTGTGTAAAGTATCCAGCCTTCATGCGATGCATTGCAGGCCAACGGCCGATCATTCGGAGTTTCCAAGGCTCTTTTCCCAAGTTCTCACGACCGGGGTTCTCAAGCCAGGAGATCCAGCCTCCCTTGGGATCACACTCAAGCATGAATGGGCCGTAGTCGTGGCAAACCACAATGTCGGTCAACCCGTTCCTGTTGATGTCAACGGCCACGACGGCGACTGGGCTGTCGAACTTGGCCACTTGATACTTCTTCCATGCTGTTGATTTCATGTCAGAATCATTGTTTCCTGGATAAAAAGGAGCATGCCACGTACGTCCAGTGATGTCGATCTCTGATGCATAGAACTCCTCGCCCTTGGCCTTGGCCTCATGTTTGGCGGCGGCAATAGGGTTATCCAGGAACTCGATTTCGCCGGAAGCCAGTCCAGATCTTAGAAAAGAGTCAGTGTCGATCGGGTATTAGACGACCAGCCGTGAGTTATTTGAAGATGGAGATTCTTACGCAACAAGTCCTGGAACTTCGTCTTCACCAAACTTGAACGTCTCGACCCAGTAGCCGTCTTTTCTATTGTCTTCAATGACAGCACGCCCGAATTCGGGCACTGGAAGGTCGATGGACGCCATTTTGTTTTCTTCAGAATTAAGATAGAGATGAAATGCTTGGGAGGGATGATCTGCTTGGCCTCACATCCGAAAACCACAGCTGCGCAGCAAGTTTTATACTATCCGACCGAATCCAAGTCATCGTGGAGAAACTGCATGTATTCACGGACTTGACACTCACAAAAGCATGGACCCGGTATCGCTAGCAACATAGTATTCTTCATCCCCGCAGGCCGGATCTAGAAGTAGTTGAATCAGTCTCACCATGTTGACTTGCCGGCAGATGATGTCTTAGCTCAGCTTTTCCGCATGGCGAACAGTCGGGCGGGGTATCTGGCATGCAAACGCCCGACGCAGGGACCGCCAAGTTCGAGACATCAACGCGGCCAAATGTTGTGTCTAGGACAAATTCGACTCTGGGGCAGGATCCGCGGGTGATGGAACGATCAGGGTCCGGTGGAGATTGCATGATTCCGGGCTCGGAACTCTCGGCGAGGTCGAGAACTTGGGGCTTGGAAGTGGCACCATGGTAGTAGGCAGTATGGTGAAAGTTGGCCAATTTCATGGTCCACTTTAGGACTAATTCTGGATCATTTCGTGAACGAGGAACGTCCGAATTCCTGAAAATATGGCCTGATCTTCGGGGAGCTGGCTGTGTTTCCGGCTCAGATAGCTGAGGGGCCAGGCTGAAGTGGTGATAGGTATTCGCAGCGCATGCAGACTTCTGTAGTGGCCTTGCCTGCGCCTCTATTTTGAATCAGATCTTTAGCACCTCCTTGGGAACGTCCACGGGTCTAGCCAGCGAATTGCGTCGACGCGCGTTCAGCCTGCTCAAGGGTCGGGTTTGCGGGTTCTTTGAATGGTGCCTGGGCACCAGCGTTGTTCCTAGATTCTCGCGCTCCCGTCTCCAATGGAACACAAGAGTCGGTCCAATGATTGCAACTTATAAGAGACATTTGTCTCAGCCTCCGAGGCGGCCCGCGGTCCGCCCCGCATTCGGGGATTCGGTACTGACAGGAGTTCGACGTATGAAATACATGTGTATTTGCGGGATTGAGACTATTCTGGTTGAGAAAATCACAGCAGTTTATTAAATGCCCGTGATACTGGACGAATGCAAATCTGATAAATCCCTCACCTGAACCATTACTATTCTGGGACGACTTGGCTCGACAAACTGAGTGACATACTCGATGATCATCCTGCGATGGCTGGTCAACCACCGTGTCACACTGGAAAAGGAATGATACTGTCTCTCATGAGTTGTTCAGACGCCACTATTTCAGGAAAGTTCAGTGAGATGAAAATTGGACTGTTATCTCAACATTTTCCCGGAATGAAAACGGCAGAAGTGGGGAGGAAACGAAAATCCTGCCAAGTCTCGATCGTAAAGCATGGAATCTCATGTTTCTGGCTCGTGAGATCCTGTCTTCGTGTGTGTATTGGTATCTCCGCAATGACCGTGAACAAGGAGGATCGATTCGGATATTGCCACCATATAAGACGTGAGCCGTGAACACGAAAGGCAGCAAACATCCAGCTCGATTAACGTGCTTCTCTTGAGTTTTCAATCACTATCTTCACTAATACCTTGTTTTGACACCTACATCTTAATCATAATTTTCAAAATGGGCGGTGGAGACGTCTCAGCTACCAAACTTCGAGATCACTTCATCTTCAAGAAGGCCGACGACTTCTTCCAGGATGAGATTGATGGTCAGGGCTCTGGCGTAAAGCAGCCCAAGTCGGTGTCGTACAGCGATGCCGACCAAAAGCTCCCTGACGGCAAGCTCAACCCAGCGTGTAGCCATGGAAGAATCTTCAGATTCAATGATGGATCTCTGCTTCTTGTTCAGTTCTTGAGGCCAAGAGTATGGAGAATTCGCTTTGATCCGCATAACACAGAGCCATCTCACTTTTCGGACTACAACACGTAAGTCTCCTAAGTTGTCTTATGATTCAGCGTAGAATACTGCGAGCAGAACGTATCCTCTAACCATCCGTCGTAGCCGTACTCTCATCCGAAATACCACGACCGAGCTGATCAGCATCTTGGACAAGTGCGAAGAGCTCGCATGGCAGGTTGAGCTGATTGAAGATGACCAATACTACATTTTGCAGTCGGTCGTTCAGCGGACCCCCAATGCACCCCCTGAGAAGGAGGTTCAGCTTTGGATTTCTCGCAATCCTTTCCAGATCACCGCAGTTCGTCTTTTGAAGAGCCTTGCTCCCGCTGAGGCGAGACCTGTGCCGCAGACGTTCGAGAAGGATGTCGTCGAAAGCCTCACTCTTCCTGTGAACGAAGGTTTCCGCCCTGCTGTGATCTGGAAGACCAAGCCAAGGGGTTTGCTTTATGGCGAGCACTCTGCTATCTTGTGCCTGGACAAGTCCATTACGGCTGATTATATGGGCTTTGGCGAGCAAGGTGGCAAAGACCTCTTCAAGAAAAAGACGTACATGAACTACTTCAGTAAGCCCACCGAAAGCTTTGCGTGGATCATGTAACTAATGAAAACCCCGCGCACAGACTTTGACAATATGAGGTACCAGAACGTCTACGGCGTCGGTCCCTTGGATGATCGTGAGCCTCTCTATCACTCGGAACCGTACTGGATTGAGGTGGACGCCCAACCGGGTTATCAAACCCAGATCGGAACCTTCATCGACAACTACTCCCAGATCTGTGTGGACATTGGCATGAAGGACCCAACTCAGCTTCGTGTGGCGACGCGTTTCAATAGTTTCCAGGGCATCTTCTTCGCCGGAGACAGCATTCAGGAAGTCATTCAGCTATACACCTCTGTCGTCGGCAAGCCGAAGCTCAAGCCCCGATACGTCCTAGGTTATCATCAGGGGTGTTACGGCTATGATACGCAAGAGATGGTCCTGGACGCTGTCCATCGATACCGACAGGCCAACTTCCCGATTGATGGTATGCATATTGATGTCGATATGCAGGATGACTACCGCACCTTCACCATCGACAAGCGTCCGGGTCACTTCCCCAACCCGGAGTGGATGTTTTCTGAGCTGCGCAGGCTCGGTGTCAAGTGCAGCACCAACATCACGCCATACATCAGCAATGTTCCCTCTAGCTCGTACAACACGTTGAATGAAGGCCTCGAGAACCAATACTTCCTCAAGGATGAGCGAGAGCTGGATCCTTCAGCCCCTGGCGCTCTCGAGCAGCGGTACATTCAGTACGGCACCAGCAACCTTTACTTCACCAATCCCAACACGGACAAGCCTGACTACTGGGATGGAGATGACTACACCTTCTCCAACAGCTTTAACAAGAGTGTCCCCTTCCATGGCGGCGTCTACTACGGCTGGAAGAATGGCCACCCTGGACACTACCCCAACTTGAACAACAAGGCCGTCCGCTACTGGTGGGGCAAGCAGTACGAGTATCTCTTCGAAACCGGCCTGGACTTTGTCTGGCAGGACATGACTCAGCCCTGCATCGCCGAGCAGTATGGTGATATGAAGTCGTAAGTCGAGATGGACCCCCTTTTGTCAATGGACTCATTCTGATTTATTTCTCCCTCCGTAGCTTGCCCTTCCGCTTGCTCTTGGATTCCGATGGGTGGTCCGGCGACCCCAAAGCCGCCGACAAGAAGAAGGCCATTGAGATCTGGTCTTTGTACAGCTACAACCTGCACAAGGCCACTTATCACGGCCTCAACCACTTGCACATGAAGACCAAGGACAAGAAGAACGACAAGCTCGCGTGGCGCGAGAACCGACGCAACTTCATCATCGGACGCGGCAGCTTCGCCGGTAGCCACCGCTTCGCTGGGCTCTGGACTGGTGACAACTCGTCGACCTGGGAGTTCCTCCGCATCTCTGTTGCGCAGGTCCTCGCTCTGGGACTGTCCGGCGTCACCATCTCTGGTGCTGATGTCGGTGGATTCGAGTTCATCGAGTCTGAGAGAAACTACCCCAACCCAGAGCTGATTATTCGCTGGTACGGGGCCTACTCCCTTTTGCCCTGGTTCCGGTAAGTTTTGTGCTCCAATCTCAATTCTATATGCCCGCTAATGTCTTTAGAAACCACTACACGAGGTTCCGAACCTGGATCGACGGCCCTAACCAGGGCAAGATGAGAAAGGACGGCAAGTGGTTCCAGGAGCCGTACGCCTATCAGCTGCACTACGAGCAACACAAGGATCAGTTCCAGGGTCGTGAGGCCGAGATTTACCGAGCTGTGTTGCCGACTTGCCGGTACTTGATCCGTCTTCGTTACTCGCTCATGCAACTGCTCTACGATGCCATGTTTGAGAACATGATCAACGGTCTGCCGATTGCCAGGGCCATGGTGAGTACCCGTCATCAGCATTACAACTTGATAGATGCATGGACTAACTTGTAACTCAAAGCCCGTCACCGACCATCTCGACCGCTCTCTTTTCAGCGCCGATGTATGCTACCTTTTGACATCTTCCATCGTGATTCCCACCTGCTAACCTTCTTGCAGAACCGTCGCTTCACCAGTTCCCAGTATATGGTCCGAAAGGATCTCCTGGTCGCCCCTGCTCTCGTCGGGGAGGATGGGCGCAAGAAGAAGTCCAGAAAGGTCTACCTGCCGTACCCCGACTCCTGGTACCCCTTGAACCTGCGACCTGACGACCCTCTCGGCGTTCCTCTTGGTCCCGCTGCCTCTGGTGGTCAACGCATCGAGTACGACTGCCGAATCTCCGACGACGAGCGCCAACTCCCGTACTCGACTCCCATGTATGTCCGTGAAGGTCAGTAATCGTCGCCATTTGACAAGTTTCTCTTGAAAGAGATCTTTGACTAACAAACAAATCAGGCGCCATCATCCCCAAGGTCGGCGTCAGGGACTACGTTGCCGATCCCAGCACGACCCCTCAAAACGCCAACCCCATCACCGTCCACGTCTACCCCGGAAAGGACAACGTAAGGACTGAGATCCCTGCTTCTATCAAGACGTGTTCTGACTGAAACACCTACAGATCTACGACATGTATCTCGACGACGGAATCTCCAGGGACAGCGCGCCAAAGAACTCTACATTGGAGACCGCCGTTGGCGCGCGTCCTTGGTACGGCGAGGCACACCACTACGACGGTCTCGCTGATGCCCAGGCTAACGACAACTACACAAAGGTCCAGATCAAGCAGGTACGTCGCATTCATCTCGTTCTAAAATTCTACAAGACGTGGACATTGTCATTCAGGAACAGAAAAAATGCTGACAATCACGGTAGTTCACCCAAAAGAGACTCTCCGACCAAGAGGACTTCGGAAAGTACACCCGCAGACTCACAGCCAACGCGCCCCATAACAAGTTCGGCGCCGAGGCGTCCAAGTACATTGGCACAGACTACACCTTTGTCTTTTGGCACCGCGGAGAGAGCAACCTGGACTCCATCAAGGTCAACGTCACGGGCGCGGACCTCCACTACAACGTCAACCACGGCGTCAGAGCGACCATTGTTACTGTTCCCATTTCCGCGGTTCACTCGGAGAAGGGAGTCGAGATCACGTTGGAGTTTGACGGGGACTATTAAAGGCTGGTCTGAGGGCTTGAGAAAGATCATGCCGGAGATGCTTGGTTGCTCGAAGGGTACATGTTCCCCGTTGTGCTTTTCGTACCAGTAGTTGCGCTTCATGGCGAAATAATGCCCAACCTATCGTTTATTCTCCTCTGTAGCAATACATTGCGCCATATGTTCGATGAGGCTGCAGCTGAGTACCCTTGGGCAATTGACAGCCTACAGAAAGTAGCGAAAGGTGAGCAGTGGGAGTCTTTTAATTCAGAAAGGTCTAGGGTACATTCAGCTCAACCAAGCTCAGCCGTAGCAAATTATTCATGCAGGCTCATTATCAACACACTCGAAAAGACTGAAACCCATGTCAGCCTGAGAAACCAGTTTGCAGACGTTTGAATCCCTGTCGTCGAAAGTCTGCCGCAATGAAGTTCTATCCCGCATGATCACTTGTCTCGTAAAACGCCAGACCAACCAACCCTTCCAGCACCGCCGCAAGTTTCATTCATCGTAAGGTTCATAAGAAGGTTTTAAAAGGGGGATCGAGAAGGTATAGAAATAATCGGTCACTACGCGCCCGGTCCGGAAGGGGCATGGATGCCGTGAAAGCCAATGCCAACGGCAAACTCGCACTCTGCCCTGCCGAGCTCCGTCATGGTCCTGGCATCGAGGCACAAGAGATAACTTGTCTGCGCGGTGCCGTCGAGCACGACACTCAGAATCACACCGTCGTCTTCGGCCATCTGTCCATCGGTACCATCGGCGCCGCCAGCGGATGAAGAAGGCCGAGGAACAAAGATTGGCTCGCCGGGCGTGTGAGCCGTGGGACACTCCCACATGAGAGCTTCGGCGGTATCGGCGTCCGTCTTGACGATTGTGTCGAGAAGGGTGCTGAGGCCGCGGTCCGAGAGACTGTAGACGTAGCGGTGACGTTTCGTCAAGTGCGCAGGGTTGATTGTGGGGAGTTCGCCGGCGTGCGGGGCCGGGATCAAGACCGCGAGCTCCGGTGGTGGTGTAGTCGTCACTGTTGTTATCTTTTGTGTTTGTGAGTCGTCGGGTTTGGGGATTCTGAATTTGAAGCGTTGGAGGCTAGCCCAGCCGTTCTTGTAGCGCTTGTTCTCGTCTGTCCAAAACTTCTCGCCGGCAGAGTTGCGATTCATGATGACGTCGTAATAGAGATTGTAGAGAATGTTGAGATTTTGGTAGCCTGCTATCTCGCAATAGACGTCAAGCATGCCGTCGCTACCGTCGGCCGCCGGCTCCTCAAAGGCGTTTGTGGCATGGAAGAAGAAGCCCGCGGGGGTGTCGAAAGAGGCGACGACGCCGTTCCCCTGGTGGCGATCGATGAAATACCACTTGCATGTGTTGGTCTTGTCGAACGGCACAATGGCGTCTAGAATGTTTCGTTCCCAAGGGACAGAGAGGCCTTTGTAGCCCAGGTGCGACGAGGGAATGCATAGTACGATGAACGATTCTGTGAGGAAGAAACTGTGGATGTAGGCTGGCTTCGCGTCGGGCCCGGCAATAGTTGCAAGAATCTCCGTCTCGCCCGTCGCAAAGCTAGTGCGGAAGATGCGGTAGGTCGACTTCATGGCGAAGGCAAGGTTGAAGTTGTACATGTCGCCGGTAACCGGGTCGCGCTGGGCGTGGGCGCAAGACATGGGACCGGAGAGAGACGGATGGAGTTTTTCCTGCTTTGCGAGGCCGATGGGTTCCAGGGTCGCTGGGTCAATCTCCATGAGAGGGCTTGAGTCGGTTGATAGCCAAAGGCTGCGGACAGCGTTACGGTGGCCTGGCCCCGCGGGGCCTTGATCTTTCGTATCGAAGCCGGGGACATTTGCGTTGACGGCAACGCAGATGTTGGGAGCAGTGCCGCGGGCGAAGACGCCCATAAACTTGCCAAACATCCCGACACAAGGGTCGGCTTTTTGGCCAAAGGTGTAGCGGTTCTGGTGGCCTGCGGCTTTGATGGAGGCGACGAGGTCGTCGGATTGCCGTCTGGAGGAGTAGAGCACGCGGGTCTGACCGCCTGGGGATTCAGGAGGAGTAATGTCAAACTTATGCGTCTGGGCGAAGCCGTCGAACCAGTGGGAAACGTAGTAGGTGCCCTTGGGTGTGTCTTCGATCTTGCAGCTGCCCGGGCCCGTTCTATAGAGGGCGCCGGCGGCCCAGACTGGGATCTGTCCTTGGACGTGCAGTTCGATGGGGCCGCGTTCCTCGGTGAGGCCATCGAACTAGAGCTGTTAGCTGGCGTCTTGGAGGGCATTGATGTAAGAGAAGGGGAGGCTCACGCCTGCCTCATTTGGCCATTCTTCGTAGGGCGCCCTGAGACGGTTCTCCTCGAACATTTGAAGGTCTGCTGCCTCGTCTTTGGCGGTACGCCTGACGGTTCTGGCTGGGATCTTGGTGTTGGTAGACATTGTTATGGCGGTCGTAGTCGTTTTGGTTGTGGTTGTGGTAGCCATTTTGGGACTTTATCTTTGTAAACAGAAATGAATGGGCGACGATTCCGTGGTGCTAGGTTTGCAGCTTGGTGTGTGCCGTCTAAATCCAAGGTCAGTGACATTTGCGAGTTGTATACTGAGGCAGAAGTATGCATGAGGTAAGATGAGTAAGAGAGCAGTGAGTGTGTTCACTCATGAATACTGCACGGACAGCAGATGTCGAGTGAAAGACACTCAAGATGAGGCACACACATGAAAGCTGCCACGTGAACTGGCAGGTATCAACTTACGCTATTTTTCAGCCGGTGTTTGCTAGTTTGCTAGTGACCGGATCGGTGCAAGTGGCCGGTGAGGCTCGGTGTATCGGTGAGGTAGTGTAGTTGTCGGTAGAGTCGGTGAGTTATGAAAGAAGTGAAGAATCCGCTATGCAAGAGGTGGACAATCTTTTGGCCCCCAGGAAGAAGAAGCAAATATTGTTGGTCGGCGGCATCTAATGACCCATGTCAGAGAGGCAGCACAGATGGATGAAACGTAGGCACGATGAGATCCTAGATGAGCTGCAGAGCGGAGATGAGAAAGAGGGAAGAGGATGGCGATCTTTTAAGTAAGGTAGGTAGAATGCATATGTATGTTGACGGGCCATGGGATGGGTCTGCTTACATGACGGTGTTGCTACGCAGGATGTCAGGCGATGTACAAGCATTAAGCGCCGGGAGCATTCATCAAACGGGATGAATGAAGCAGTGCGGCGTGAGTATGTGAGATGTATCTCAGTACTCCGTAAACGTAGGTAGGTGACTGTGAGGGCGATACGGGGGAGACGAGCTGAATGGTGCGAGAGCGAGATACCTACCTACTGTTGCGGGAGGCGAGTAATTATCGACCGGGGGCACAGAAGTGCGGTGAAAACGGTTACGGACGTAGGAGCGGGTGGTTGTTCGGTTAGTTGATGAGGGGTGTGTGTGTATGTGCGTGTGTGTGTGTGTGTGTGTGTGGATGTCCAAGGTGAGAGTGAGCAGAGTGAATGAGAAACTTTTGGTCGTCAATGGTCGATCGATACCACTTTACCCGGCGTGTTGGTGAGATGGGACGGGGATTGAGATACCCATGCGCAATCCACGATGCGACCAAGACGGGATTCCGAGTAAGTGATGCGAAGAATCGGATTGAAAAATCTCAGACCCGATCAGACACCCAGGTGGAAAAGCAACGTGATTGCGACAGTCCAGCGGAACGGACGCGAGGAGAAGGGGATTGATTCACAACTTCCAGGATAACTTGACGAGGTAGGTAGCGGAATTCTCATGCAAGCCGTTTTGGAGAAGGCGGCGCGGGCGGGACGGTACGGCCGTAGCAGGGCGGAGGATGGTCAATGTGCGCGGCACCAAGAGGAGCCTATTGATGCGGGCTTTTTACCGAATCCAGACAGCTTCCAAGTTAAGGAAGAGTGGCATACGGAGTAATAGTATGAGCTTTGCAAACCAGTAAGGGTCTGGACAGTTCCCGAATGTGTGGTATTGGTGGTGTTGCTAGGTATTGTTGTTGTGTGTTTTGGGGTGGTACAAGCGACAAAGTGGCATTTAGTGGCGGTGGGTGTTGGAGGTGTTGGTGTTGAGATGGATGTCGACTGTCTTTACTTCTTTTCTCTTCTTCTCTGGCTGCTTCTCGTCGGCCCGAGTAGATGGGTAAAATATTGGAGAGAGAGTCAGACATACGCATAAAGAAGTGAGCGGATGGTTCATGTCATCATTGATTCAGACAACGGTGCCAACGGCGGGATTGCAGAAGACCGAGGGTCCCGCTGCACCTGCCATGGCGTCGTCATCGAAAAAAGGGTGGCCATTTGGCGCTGCCACAGACAGCATGTGTCAAACTGTGTAGGCCGTCGACGGGTGCAACAAGCACAAGCGTGCAACAAGCCTCTCTCTTCCTCTTGATTTCTCAGTCAGCCACACCCGAAACCCCAAAAGCCAAGGTAAAAAGATCTGACCGACCTTTGATATGCCCGGGCCCCTGGCCATGGGGATGGAACGATGGAGTATGGAGCTACTGAAGAAGCTTATCCCGGACTTTCAGCTTGGAATGTCAAGTTCCATCGCGTACGGAGTAGATGCTAGTGCGCACTGCGTGCATGTTCATGTCATGTCGGAGCGTGGAGACTTTTTTTTTTGGTGAGATGTGCGATCGATGCAACGTGGTCATGGAATGATAACCGAGTACTGATATCAGACCGCATTCGCCCAACGTCAGATGAGACCCATGCCACCGTAGATCAATCAATGTGTCTCTCAGTTCTCGGGGTTTCCTGTGTGCGGCCTGCCCATGTCGGACGGGACGCACCTGTCAATGGGCCCCATTGTTTCGTTTCGAGCTGCTTCGTCCAGCGGTGATGCAGAAAGAAATTGGTGAACCTCCCAGCCGGGATTGCTTCTTCTTCTTCTTCCGCTTTCTTCTCTTTTTCCTTGTTGGTTCGTTGGTCGGCTGGTCGATTGGCGATGGCCCCGGTGAGAGGGAGAGTGGAGGTGTTGGTCTGGGCCCTGCACTGTGGGCATTTCACCCCAGCCTGGGAGATTCAGGTTAGGTACGTATCCCCAGTTGCGAGGACTTTGTGTGGAAGAACATCGGGAACAACAGCGACTCAGGGCAGCGGGTTAAGCGAGGAAATCCACTCGGCCGGCAGAACCTGGGATTACCTAACCTCCGTTCCGTATCTCACATCCTGGCACGTGCTTGGTACCTCAGCTTACCTTAGGTAAGGCACCGTAAGGCACTCAGGTACCCTGCTACGGCCTCTTCAACTGAGGTGCTTCTCCCACGTTCAAATGTTCCTAGCCCTCAGCACATATTTGGTCACCGTGAGATGTTCCGCCCAGATGCAACGCTCAGCTACATACAGGCCACGAAAACTGATAAACCATGTGGCTTCTATAGTGATAGCTTGGCATTCAAGTCACGCACTTAAGGAAATACGCCTCTGATGCTGCAGCAACGGCTTCCGACCCGATCGCGGCATGGCGGCCCCACAAGAGCTCCGGCTTTATTCCACACCACCTCCGTCAGCGGTGGCTACAGCCAATGGCCTCTCTCTCATGGCTCGCCTCGGCCGTCACTATCACTTTAGTACCTTGCCTTACCTACTTGATGTTATCCCATGGACAAGAATGGTAGCCACATATATCATTGCCTGTTCTCTCATCGCATGGAACTGAGACGCGCCTTGTCACACAGTTGTCCCTGTCTCACCGTGCTCCTATGTGTCAGTTAGCCACGGGTCATCACGGACTACCGCATACTGACAGGCTCGCGGTGTCACCTACATTAATTCGGCAGTGTATGGCTCACATATCCGCGCGGATCCTCGCTGTCTCCCCTTCCGTCCAGAGCGGGAAACGTGCGGAATCGATTGATTAAGATCGCCCCTCAATGGGCCTCTGGAAGGTACGCCTACGCTGTTCAACGTCTACCGTTGCACAGCACATTGCGACCAATCTCTTGGTAGCACGACATCATGTTCTGGCCAAGAGGTTACTGTGATATAGCAACATGCTTTGCGCCTTCTTTGCACTTGATCAAATTGTGTCGCGGCAATTGTGGGCTTCATTGGAGACAAGTCGAGGTCGACTCTGCAGCTTTAGCAACCACTATCGTATGTGATTGACCCGTCGTTCTGAGCAAATCCAGTGTCAGATTGGGGAAACTGGAGAGAACATAACTAGGGGCTGTGGCAGTGATAGGTGAGAAAGGTCCGGTGAAAGCTTGCCAGCCGTCAACGGTGAGACATTCTCTCAGCTTTTTGGCTCTAGACTTCAGCTTCCAGCCACGCAAGCCGGGTAACCAGATGCGTCGATTAGGCTTCATCAAAGATGCGGGGAACGATCATCTGTGGCATATAGCGAGCATATAGTCCGTATTTCGTTCGAATAGCATCCGTCAAAGTTGGCACAACATGACATTTAGGGTTCATCAAGCTGAATGTGAATGACTGAAAACATCTTTGGAAAGGTTGGTACCAAATTACAGCACGTAGTATCGACATGAGGGTTGGATATCCTTCGGCTATATCTATCTGTTAACTATTCACATTCTCACAATAAATCTCTTTCAACTTGCCCCCCCCAACTTTCCAAACTCACTTCTTCTGAAGAAATCATCGAGTATCTCATCAAAGTCTCAATATGGGCGGAACAATCACAAGAAAGAACATCCGCACATTGTCTACAAAGGAGCTCGACGACCTCGTCAGGGCATTCCACGGCATCCAACAGCTTCCCCCTCATGATCCCAACTCCTTCTTCACCATTGCCGGTTACCATGGCGAGCCTTTCAGGGGTGCTGGATACGCCAATCCTGCTTGGTGGGGTGGTTACTGCAACCACGGCAATGTCCTCTTCCCAACTTGGCACCGCGGCTACCTCCTGAGGCTCGAAAAAGCTCTCCAGAGCCAGGTCCCCGGTGTAGCTCTGCCCTACTGGGATGAGACCGAAAAGGAGTCCCTGGAGCACGGCATTCCTCCCATCTTCCTGCAGAGAAAGTACAAGTTCTCCGACACTGGCAAGGAGATCTCCAATCCACTGTTCTCGTACACGTTCCAGGCCAGAATCCAGGACAGGCTCGATCCTATCCCGGATGCCGACTACACCAAGCCTGCGGGCTATGAGACCGTCCGCTACCCATTCTCGGGGCTTGTGGGCCCGAAGGACAAGAACAAGACCTGGGTTCACAACAATTCGCTGCATGAAATGGGAGAGAAAGCCACGAACAAGATGCTCAATGACAACATTACCACCTGGCTCACCAAGTCTTCTTTCTTGAACAGCGACGGGAAAAGGCAATCTGCCGGAGTCAAGGATAAGTATTACCACTGCCTCGACGCTCCCAATTACACCGTGTTCTCCAATACGACTTCGGCGCAGCAATGGAACGACGAGGGCCTTCAAGAGCCCGGGTTCAAGTCCGTCGTACCACTCGAATCCCCGCACAACTTGATTCACTTGGCCGTCGGCGGTTTCGACCTACCTGGCAGCAACTCTGACCAGATCGGCGACGCAAACGGCGACATGGGCGAGAACGACACGGCCGCCTTTGACCCAATCTTCTACTTCCACCACTGCTTCATCGACCTCATGTTCTGGCGGTGGCAGAAGAAGCACAACAAGGAGCACTCACTCGAAATCATCCAGGGCTACCCCGGCACCAACTCCGTCGACAATCAGGGCCCAACGCCCGGCGTGGCGGGCGGCACCTGGCTCACCCTCGACAGCCCCCTCGACCCATTCAGGAACCCTCACGGCGCGGACAAGGCAATGACGTCTAGAGACGTGGTCAATATTGCCGAGCTGGGCTACGTATACGACTACCCCGAACCCCCGACACGGGTCGGCGAGCCTCATGGTCCGAGTCCCGTGTTGACCGTTAGCGGCATCAACCGCGCCGCCATCGGGGGTTCCTTTGTCGTTTCCGCCTGGGCCACGTTGAAGAGCGGGGAAAAGGTGCTGGTCGGGACGGAGGCTGTGCTCAGTCGTTGGCACGTATCTGGGTGCAAGAATTGCCAGAACCATTTGGAGGTCAGAACACATATACCGGTTGAGGGCTGGACGAAGAAGGATACGGACAAGATGGAGTTTGAAATTGGGCTGCATACCCGGAATTTGAGCGGTGTTCCCAAGGACGGGCGTGGAGAAGGGGTTCAGAAGCCGAGATTCAGCCTTGAAACTGATCATTTATAGTTGTTCCTTGCAGAGATTGGTTGAACGCTTTTGTCTTCTTACGGCTTCGGTAATACATCTGGCACTACGTTTCACAAAGTGTCCCGGCTTTTTAAATCTAGTCCTATCTCCATAGTAACTACCGCGAAGTGGCCTTATGATGTTGAGTCCTGCACATGTGCCACAAAGTGACAGTGCGACATTGCAATGTGAGGTGCCCTGGCTTCCTTCTGAGGATTGGCGACTCACTGAGGATCCATGCGATCATAATGCCAAGATGTTGGTGTTGGATCGCTCGTCCTGAAGCATGTAAATGGACACTTACATCTAGGCCGGCATACCCTCTCTATCTTACATTGCCTTGTGCCGAACGGGCTGCGCCTGCAGCGTTTACGAATTGCAAAGCCTGCTCTCAAAACGCTTTCGCAAACAGCCCTTCAGTTAGATCTACTGGCAAGACTTGGCGGGAACTGAGGGTTTACTCCAAAGTCACAAGCCTGAGGCTGATAACTTACAGGGGATACGGAACTTTAGAGTTGCTGTGATCTGCGATCATCCCAAAACCAACTACCTACAGAGGCTTGATCTTAAACTTGACAAAGACCCCAAATATCCGGTACGAAACTTCCATCCTCATGGACGAGCTTTGGCATTATACTTACAGGCTACTAATTCATGCAGATGCTGTTCGTTGCCTAAGTACTGAGGCGAGCTGACACCTTGACACAGCATTTGATGTTCTCTTTTGGTTGGTGCTCCCCCCTCTGATTCGTTACTGTCAGGTCCACCCGTCTTATTCCCCGCACGTCAAGACGATGTTTGTTCTCAACACACTCAACACTTCGCAAGGATGATGGACCCAGTCGGGAATATTCCTAAACCAAGCCATACCACATCCCAGTATGATTTTCGACAGACCGTCCAAACCTTGGGCCCGAAATACGTGCCGTCGGCAGAATGCGGTGCTCCCCGGAGAAAGCTAGTCATCGTGGGCGACGTTCACGGGCGAGCATCACAGCTACAAAAACTTCTGGACAGAGTCTGCTTCGATAAAGATGCGGGGGACTACCTAGTTTTTACCGGTGATCTGGTCAACAAGGGCCCCGACAGCGCGGGCGTGGTACAGCTCGCGATGGACCTCGGCGCCAGCTGCGTCAGGGGCAACAACGAGGACCGCGTGCTGGCTGCGCGTGGGTTCATTGAGCGCGGCAGGGTCACTGGGTCTACGGGCGACGACGGGAAGATGGTTTTCGAAGACAGCAAGGAGAAGTTGCCGGCGGATATCCCGTACGCCGTGTCGAGCGACTACGTCACTGCGACGCAGCTTTCTGAGGAGCAGGTATCGTGGCTCTCATCGCTGCCTCTCATCTTGCACATCGGACCGTTCAGAGGCGCCAAGAGTCCTCCTTGGAACTCTGGGACTGTGGTGGTCGCGCATGGTGGTCTGGTACCGCTGCTACCGATGGAGGAGCAAGATCCTTGGGCTGTGATGAACATGCGCAGCCTGGTGTATCCGATCGACGGCGTCCACCCGGAGAACGTGGAAGTTGCTCTTGCGAAGAGGATCAAGAGCCGTCTGTGTCGACATGCGGCATTTCAGGTCGCAAAGGGCGAGGGACTCGATGGTGAGCTGGCACGAGTCTTAAGTCTGTGGGATGGTGATGAGGTTTCAAAAATTGCAACAAATCAAGAGGGGGGGACCATTGCCATTGAACTCAATGATGGAAAACGCTGGAGAGAGGCTTGGAACGAGACTCAGAACATGATTGAAGCACCAGAGGATCGCTCGGTTGTCGTGTATGGTCACGACGCCAAGGAAGGGTTGCAGGTGGAACCATATATCCAAGTACTGGAATCGCTCAAGGGGAAGGGAGCCCAAGGACCATGGACCAGGTATGCGTTTGGTTTGGATTCTGGATGTGCGTATGGTAGAGAGCTATCGGCCATGGTGATTGAGGCGAGTCCGGATGGAAGTGATGTTGTTCATCGTATAGAGCAGGTCAAGGGGGTTGAAGAATGAGACGTGGGCTGGTCTAAAGCCAACAAGGTGAAGCATGGGTTGTAGGTAGGACAGTTTCCCATGGTGTGCCAAACATCCTTCACTTTAGATAGAGGGGGAGAGAAAGAGCGAGATTTGGGGGATGTGAGAATAGTCAGCTGCATCGTATCGAGTCGTTGGCCCATATGCCAATCGTGCCATAAGTGCGGTCACTCGGCTTAGTAGTCGAAGTCACGAAGAACTGCACTAGTCATTAGCGGGAGCCGCAGAAGAATACTACTGAAAGCCACCTATCTCAAACATGCAAGTGTAAAAAGTGGGAAATAGTGATAGAGTTATCCGACCTAACCACACTAGACGTATACATACTTACATGTGAGTGACAAACCGATCCTCTCAATTCAGTCTGGCTATCCAGTTGAGCATTCTCGTTCCTTATAAGAAGTTGCCAACTTAACGCTCTTCATGCTTTAGTCTGTTCCGCGTTGGCAGAGATGCATGCACAGTCAGCAAAGGACATCCTCATTCCTAGGATAAATGCATCACTGGAGGGGTTACTGTACTGCCCGTGTAAGGGAATTGACCCGCATATCATCCGAACGATTCAACACTCGTCGTCAAAGTTGCAGACAAGACAGGCACAGACAAATCGGATGAAACTGGTCCCCTCATTTACCACTTCAACGCAACCCTTCAATACCTTGGCCGGGCGTTGCTTCTTCTTGGCGCGGGCCAAGATGAGTGGTGACCTTTTGCTTGGCTTGGGCCCTAGCGAGAATGCGGTCGAGGTTCCAAAGTACCTACTAGATAGGTGAGTTATAAGGGACTGACACCCGCCGGAAATATCGGAAGTCTCGGCATCACCGGCTCCGTCCCCCAACGTCATTCTGCCAACTGCTCTCGTACAATACACACTCTTTCCCCCCCTTCTCATCCGCCACACCCCCCTTGTATATCTTTATTTGCGCCCATTCGAAAGGGAAAACCGTATTGCAGCTATTTTGTTCGGGAAAGTCGGCTTTCGCGCGCCTTTGCGAGAGAATGTCAGATACCGCCGACGATGAACCCGTATACAAGCGTAAGCGGGTCGCAAAGGCCTGCCAGACATGCCGATCCATGAAATCCAAAGTGAGATTAAACAGCCCAAGTCTCTAACATCCTTTCTTCCGCATTGACATTATACCTATGTGTTCACAGCTTACTCATACAAATTGATAGTGCGACGGGAAACAGCCAAAGTGTGGAAGATGCGTCGGGTATGGCTACGACTGCGTCTACTCCGTAGGAAGACCTCGTCGACGACGGGAAAAGGCCACCGGCAACGGAGATGCCGGTGCAGAAGGTCCAGCAGCCGGATCTGGCCCCGGCGCGCACACGCATGCCGCCCTTAAGATCGCCGTAGATCAGTATGAGACTCTAGTGCAAAGCCTCATCACACAGCTACCCTCTGCCCAACAGCAGCAAGACGCCCAAGCGCAGCTCAACTCCATCAAGTCGCAAGTTGACCAGGCCGTGGATAAGACGTCCTCGACAGAGACGCCGTCATACTCGCCGGGCGTGGACCGTGGACAGCACAACCACCCCGATTACCAACCTTCCCCGACACCTTCGCTCAAGCCTAGCCAGAGATACTTGGGCGAGGTCAGCGACGTGCACTTCTTCAATGTCATTAAGCGAATCCTACAGACAAAAGACGCTCCCGGCGGCGGCGGTGGCGGTAGCAGTGTAGGGGCGGACCACGACTTTGACAGCTACGAACAGGACGGCGACGCGCTGCTCGCCGGCGCTGCCGCAGGAGGGAGGCTGGTGGAGCTTCCCGGCCCCGAACAGGAGCGCAAGTTCACCAATGTGTACTTTGCAACAATCCACCTCGCGTACCCTTTCATACCGCAGTCTACCTTCTCGAAGCTGTGTGACAGGATAGGGGGCGCGCCCAACGGCGGTGATCGTTTGGGAGGCACGGAATCTGCTCTTTATTGTAGGTTTGAATCATGCGCCCCTTTTTCTATCAACCTCCCTGGGAGCCGTGGGATAGCAAGATAAGACGGGGCTAACGTAAGTCATAGATGTAATCTGCGCCATTGGCTCATATTATACGTCTTTTCTGGAGAAGAACTCGGATACCCGCCATTTCCACGGCGTCTACTTCCAGCGTGCTTTAGCTCTTGCTGCATCAACGGCATCGTCGGATCGGTCCATTAACCAGGTCTCACTGCTTCTGACGCAATGTTTCTACTATCTCGCGGTATCTCGGACGGACAGGTTTGTTTTGCATTGTCTCACCATGTCCCATTACACACATCTAACATTCGCAGCTGCTGGATGACCCTGGGCCAAGCCGTCCGAATCGCTCAAGGTATCGGTCTACATGTCGAAAAGGACAAGAACAACCCCCGGCACACGGTAGAAACCGAGACGCGTCGCCGGGTGTGGTACTCCATCTACGTCCTGGACCGTCTTCTCTCCCTCCAGCTGGGCCGCCCCGCGGCCGTACACGAGGACGACTTCAATGTACCGCTCCCTTCGCGGCGTGCCGACTCGGAGATTGACTGGGAGGCCACTCACATGGAGCCGCCGGTCGAGGAGACGTCGGGCGGGGACTACTTCCTCGCCGTCATTGGTTTCTCGCAGATTCTGGGCCGCGCGCTGCGGGATGTTTTTGGGCCGAGGCACTCGCAGCTCACCTCTGCGGGTGCCCTCCGGACGAGGGAACTGGATCGCCAGCTTGTGGATTGGAAGTCGAAGCTCCCGCGACGGTTGCGATTTGATCTGGGGCATGCCTTTGACCAGAACTTTGCATTCAAGAGACAGGTAGGTTTCTACAGAAGTGGTCTGCGCTGTGTACGCAAACTTCAACATAGTACTAACAAACACCAGCGAAACATCCTCGCAGTCAAGTTCCACCACCTGCGGGCTCTTCTGCACCGGCCATACCTGTGCTACCCCCTCCTCCGCGGCCTCGACGACACGTCCTCCACACTCTCCGAGGTAGACTGGCATCTCGTCAGCATATCAGAAAAGACATGTGTTGCCGAGGCGCGGGAGACGGCGCGGCTGCTGCACGGCGTCTCGAGCGAGAAGGACCTGGTCCACGACTTCCCCTGGTGGCAGATGATTTCGTGTCTCTTGTGCGCGAGCTCCATTCTGTTGATATCGAGTACGTTTACGCAGCCCATGGCGGAGGACGAGGCCGTCTTTGACACCGAGGGCCTTTCGGACGATGCGGAGACGTGTCTCAAGATGTTTGAGGCATTGAGCTGCAACTCGTCGAGCGCCAAGAGCGCCCGGGATATGTTGAAGGGGCTCAAGGAGTGCGGCATCGACTGGAAGAGCAAGAACCCGCCCCGGCCGGCGGTGTTCGCTGAGATGCCGCAGCAGCAGCAACAGCATCAGCAGCAGCAACCTCAGCATCATGTTCCAAATAGCTCGATGCAGGCGCAACATCAGGCGCAGCAGGCGATGCTGTCGCCGGTGGAGATGGGTGCGTTGAGCGGGATGCCGGACTCTGCTACCGCGCAGGATATGGGAATGCTTGGGATGGGTGTGGCTCCTTTGGCGCCCGGCCAGTGGCCGGCGGAGATTGTGGACTCGATGGCGTGGTCTGCGCAGTTCTTTGATGCCATTCAGGGGTATGGGAATGGCGAGTAAGGGGCATGTTTTGGCGGGATCAATGCTGTACTAACATAATGATGTAAGTTGGTTATCATGTACAAAAGTCATGTGTACATTTAGTTCGAGAGAGGCAGTAAGGTATCTTGAGATGATCAGCATCAAGGCAGTCCATCGCAGCCAAGTCAATGATTCGTTGATGTAGATGTGAACGGATTGGTAGCAAGACAATGCCTCAACTCATCGTAGGCTCAACTTTATTTGGCTATAGGATTTTGCCATCTAGAAATGATTTCGCTTCCGACAGGAGGGCCTCTATATGTCTATTTAGAGGCCAAGATAAGGTAGAGTAAGGTGAGGTAAAACAATGCAAGGTGAGGTGAGGTGAGGTGAAGGGTGCACCTTGTCAAGATACGTACCCAGGTGGACTGCCGGGAGCTTCGACCCCCGGACGGTCCAGGCGGCGGGGCAATCAGCCGCGAGCAATGACAGCCAGCGCCGGCAGCGCCCAAATCACCCCGCAACCAAACCCCCAAAAATCAATCCCAAATCTCAATCTCAACCCCCGAAAGTAAACAATCTCTCCGATTTCCTTCTCCCCGATTCCGGTGCCCCCCGGATCCATCATCACTTGCTCCGTTCGACGACACCGATATCGACAGCGGCACCATTCATCGAAACCGTCAATCGACACCCCGAATTCCATCACGATGGCCCCCGATGCCAAACCCGCCAAAGCCAGCAAGGCTAGCAAGACCGACAAGTCGGACAAGGAGGATAAGTCCAAGGTGCACAAGCTCGCCCTCAAGGGAAGCGCAAAGCTCGTGGCCGAATTCGTCAGTCCATTCCCTTCCTTTGCCATGTTGTCATTGCCAAATGGCGGTTGCGCCGAGCTAACTCGTACCTACAGTTTCAATACTCGATACACACTATTCTGTACGAACCTTGATCCCTCTGGACATGCTGCGCCGATTCGAATACTGACATGTTCTCTCAAACAGCTTCCAACGAGGTGTCTACCCAGCAGAAGATTTCTCAGCGTACGTCTAGCATTGCCTTTCTTCCCCCTCCTGCGACAGACAGAGACTGACCACACATCCTCTACAGCGTCAAGAAATACGGTCTCAACATGCTAGGTTCGCCTTCCTCATCTCCCATCCCGCCGACACAGCCTTCGCACTATTTCGCCAACTCTCACATCTAGCAAAGATTCCCCACAAGCTAACACCGTATTCTCCCCCTCCAGTCTCCTCCGACGACCAAGTCCGAGCCTACATCAAAAAGATCATGTCCCAACTAGACCGCTGGATGCTCCGCGGCAAAATCTCCAAGCTCGTCATCGTAATCACAGACAAGGACACGGGCGAACACGTAGAACGCTGGCAATTCGACGTCGAAATCTTTGGCCGCCCCTCAAAGTCCAAATCCTCAAAGACCTCTTCGTCCTCCAAATCATCCTCCTCGAAACCCGCAGACCAAGAAAACGCATCCCCCGCCACGGCAGAGGACGCGGCCCCCGAAAAGACGGAACAAGAAATCCAATCCGAAATCGCCGCCATCTTCCGCCAGATCACCGCCTCCGTCACGTTCCTCCCCCAGCTCAACGGAGACTGCACGTTCAACGTCCTCGTGTACGCCGACGCCGACTCCGAGGTGCCCGTCGAGTGGGGCGACAGCGACGCCAAGGAGATTGTCAATGGCGAGCGGGTCCAGCTGCGTGGGTTCAGCACCAGCAACCACCGTGTTGACACCCTCGTCAGCTATCGCTTGGCGGAGTAGAATTCGGCAAGTCTCGTGTGGGCGGGTTTGCTGTATGATGCGAGGTTACGGCTTGTCGGCGGACGAGAAAAGGTTTATAGGCCAAGTGTGGAGAGAACACAGCATGGAAATCTGTGTGTATGTAATATGATGTGTGTGCGGCGTCACGGCGTTTGGGTAGTGTTCTGTGGTACGATGACCACTCACGGAAGAAAGACAGGCAAATTTCAGTCTCTGGAAAAAGTTCATCTTCACAATGGATGGCTAATAACTAGCCTCAAATCTCCCTTTTTCTACACCACTCACTATGCATTCCGTGTCTCGTCTCTCATCTCCACAGTAAACCACCGCCTACCCATGCTGTAATGCAATCATCCCCGTCTTATCAGATGCATCCGTGGCCCGTTCTCACCGCCCCCGTCATGAAGTTGCGCAGGACTGATTGAAGCCTGGCTTGATGTTTTTTTTCGTCGTCACACCTCTCTCAAACCGAAACGCCATTCTTGTTACGCCCCGAAATCCACCTAAACACGCTTGAAGAAGTAGACGTAGGCAAACTTTCTCATCTCTTCAATCTCGCCTGCCTCGACAACCTTTTCATCATTGAAGAGGACCCAAGTGGGCTGGCTGTTGACTTCCTTACGAACGAAGGCGACATAATGACTAATGAAAAATATTAGCAAACTTTGAAAGTTCAGTCTTCAAGGTATAAACCATCGTCAACATACCCGGCATGGATGCTTGTGCCCTTGTGGCAGGCGATAGACTGCAGCTGGTACTTTGCAGGGGTAGCGGCGCTGCCGGCGTCCGCTTTGGGAGCAGCGGGATCGGCTCCGGCGGCGGGGACTTCGTCTTCAAAGATGCCCTGGTCCTCTGGATGGCTAAAGAGCCACTCAACAGCTCGCTCCACGTCACCGTTGGTCTCGCGCAGAGCCTTCTTTGCTTGAGGCACCGAGAAGCCCATGGCGCCGAGCATCTCAATCTTTTCCGGATCCGCCGATGCTCCTCCGGCTCCCCCAGCACCGCCACCACCACTCAGAACGAGCGGATCGTCAATGTCGGGGTCCTCCATGTGGCCAAACAGCCACTCCATGGCAGCGTTGGCGTCCGAGTTGCCAGTGGCATGCAATGCCCGCTCGCAGCGGTTGCGTCCGAAGCCCATGGCCTCCAGCTGGCTGACAGCCTCCGGGTTGGCAACGAAGGCCGGGGCGCTGGCCTCGGGCTCATCGGGAAGGGTCTCTTCGGAGGACTGCAGACCCTTGGAAAGATAGTCGTCGAGGAGGAAGGGCTCATCGGGGACAATGACGGGGACGTCAAGTTTGACAGGGACCCAGTTGATGACTGCCATCTTGCGGGCGTTGACAACCAGATTCTCAGGAAGGGTCTTGAACAAGGAGCGCTTAGTGTAGCCATCCTTGCTGCCACATGAAGAGCATGTCAGCTCAACAACCTCCTCGGCCGTGAAGTTATCGAGACACTGCTTGAGAGTTACGGCCTTGTAGGCGTCTGCCTTGGTCTCCTCACCATCGACAGCGGGTTCCTTCTCTAGAGGAACGTCTATGAAGATGTTGTCCTGCTCATTAGTCGAATATCGCACCTTCTTGCATCCCAGGCACTGCAGCCGCTGCTCTAGAGTGAACCGGAACGGCTGGGTCGGGTCGCCGAGATCGGAGGGATGCTGGGACCGAGTGACGAGCTTGAAGATGTGCTGCAGCAACTCGAAAGCATCCTGCTGCCGCATAGTCGAGAACTCTTCGTGGCCTCTTCCAATCAAGTGCTTCAACATGGCCGGGGCCAACCCCTTTTGGTGCGAAATCTCGGGCGAGTGCTCAGATGCAGTCACGTCTGAGTCGGGCTTAGAATACCGACCCGAGAGCAAGCCGTCCGCAACCTTGCGGAGCTGGGTCTCCAAGTCCGCCGCAGGATCCTGGACAGTAGGCAGGTCGCGACTGGGCAAGTAGTAGCGATTCTTGAAAGCAGGAGTGTCAAAGAGACACTGGACGATGCTGGCAAGATAACAGCTGTTGCCAAGGTTCTTGAGGCCGGTCAATCCAGCGCCAAACAGAGGCTTAAGCTCCTTGCCGTCTTCCGTGGTCATGCTAAAGTCCCAGCGCAGGTTCTGCTCAATCTGCATCTCGGTCAAGCTCTTTTCCGTCTTTTGCTGGTTCGCCAGGTTGATGCCCCAGTGCCCCAGGTGCTGGCCGAGATCACCGTCGATGCGCTCTTCGTCGCACTTGTAGCAGTAGACGTCGGCCGTTCCCTCCGGTGTGATGGACCCGAGCTTGACGGCGACGCCATGGCCGGACTGATCCGAATGCGCGAGGGCGTGAGAGTTACCGTCGACACCTCCCATTTGCTTCCTTCCGCAGCCCAGGTTTCCACACTCCAAGCAGAGCCACAGGTTCTCGTGCAGATCACAGGCGGAGCAGTGTCCGAGATCACCAGACTGAATGGTTCTTGACTCGGTCTGTTGCATGAGCAGGATGTGCTCGCAGCTCGTAAGCTCCTGCTCCCACGCCTTGACCTCCTCTTTCCTCGAGAAGGTGTTGGCCTTCATGATGCCGTCCACAATGGGGGCAAGCTTGTTGCTCGTCTTGTCCAGCTCCTGGTTGCACTCAAGGCACTTGACAGTGGTTGTAGTATCGTATCGGTCGGCCTCGGTCTCGGCGGCGATGGCGAGCTTGGACATCTTCAAGGGGGGTTCATCTCGGACAACGACTTTGCGGGTGCGGCGAATGTTGAGAACGAGCGGGTGGCTCCAGAGCTGTCGGTGGAGCTGAGCATGGTTGCGGTCACCGGCACAACCGCCGTTGAAGCACTGGAGGCAAACATCGACACCGGCAGGATCGTCCTGGGCAAAAGGATCAGCAAGAAGCAGAAGCAGGCGGGTCATGGACGAGGCGCACGATGGAATCGAAGCACTGGGTGCAGTCTTCCCGGTAGACGGAGTTGTGAGGTGCAGGCGGCTGGAGGGCTGGGAGAGGTGTGGTTAGTGTCATAGTATCGGACAGAGCTAAGATGAGGATAGACTAGAAAATCATTACCTGCAGCTATGGACTCAAGATGCGGGCACGCCATGGTGGGAGCGATACTAGAAGGCTTCCAGGTCGAGGCTGTCGTCTCTGAGGTAAGGTAAGGTAGGGTATCTTGTGTGGGGTTGACGGTGAATCCAGAGGTGTGTGAAGAGTTGGGAAAAAGTCGCAGACAATAAGATGGTTTTAGGTCTGAGGTGAGTTGTGTTCAGCCTCGCAGTTGAGACCAGAGACAAAACAGGCAGCCAACGGGATGCGACAGCCGAGAGCTAAGTAACGAGGTGAAAGGCTGAGATGTGCTCGTGCTCAAGCTGATGCAGGCGAGGACGGTGGCAGTGGTGGTGGTGGTGGTGTTGGACTGAGTGCCCCGCGTTGGAGTTACAGGGACCTGGTGCCTGAACTTACTTTGGCAGCTTCCCTGAGGTGACAGTGGTAGGTGGCATTAGCTCAGCTTTGGAGGGGGGCACAGTGTGGCGTGCACCTCAGATTTTGAGGATTACGTAGTAGAGTGGGGAAGCTTGAGGAAAGCATAGATGGATTAAATGCATTTTCAGGCTTATGTGCATGTCCGTGGTGGGAGGTCATCATAGATGCATATCGGAGCTATATAAGGTGGCGGATTGCAGGTAAGCGGCTTCCCCGGACTTAGGCTTCCATTGGAAGCGGACATGTACAAATGCGTCAAACCTACGGAGTACGTAGCTGAGGTGCCTTGGGCGGAGTACGTTCCAGCGAGCACGGGGGTAGCTTGCGTATCTAATCAGATTGAATCTCTTTCGCTGGCGAGAACGGCGAAGAACCATGACAAATTGTTGCCGCCCCGTCAAGCCCGTCAAAAGATCCCCCAGTCATCCCCACTTGGAGCACCCAGAGCTGTCGGGTTAATGGATTCTCACTTTGCCAGCTGGTCACCTGCACCTGATAGCTTACTTAAGTACGTACCTTACTCCGTACTGTGGATCCGATAAGGCAAGGTCAACGACATGGACGGCAAGAGGACGGGACCAAAGTCACCAAAGTCCTGGGTGCAGTGCGTTCTTGCTGGGCCGAGGAAACAACGGCATCATCCCGGCCAATCAGATGTTTCCCATGCTCCAGGGAGTGGATCAGATAACGGGCAGGTCTGCAGCTCTGACATCCTGACACGCTGAAAAAGAGACACACTAAAGAAGGAAGGGAACCTTGAAGCGGATTAGTGTACATACACTAATGGCTGGGGGACCCTCGGCGCTGTGGAGGCGGATGAAAAAATGTCTTCTCCGAGGCGCCGAGCCATCCATCCTGAAGCCGTCACCCCCGTCCACTACTACTGACTGCTGGCTGCTGCGACTGCTGTGACTGTATGCTAAAGCCCAAGATGGCATAGGCAGTGTGCGGGCCTGGGGACCAGTGGCCGACCACTGTCCATGACTTAATGCATGGTCATTGAACGCTCCCATTGGCCCGTCGGCTTCTGCTACCCCCGAGATCGCCATCGTTCTCCGTCACAAGTCCCGCAGGCCTTCTCTGCTACTCCGTAATAATTTCCATTTTCCATTTATCCTCTCAAAGAACTTCTCGCCTCCCTCCAAGTCTGCCCCCCTCAACACCTCGATCTCTTGCCCAACGCAATTTGCTATATCGACCACCTTTTGTCGCCATCGCCATCTCGACTCATCAACAATTCCCTAAATCGACTCCTGCGACTACGCTCGTATCGATTTATCCTGCTCAACCTCCATATTCATCGACCTGCACCTCTTTGAAAAGCCACTAGTCCGAAACTCCTCCAAAATGTTCTCCAGATCTCTCCGCGTCGCCTCTCGCAGGGTCCTTGCGACCTCTGTCCGCCCTTCTGCCATGCCCGCTCGTCAGCTTGCACCTGCTGCCACTGTCGGCGCCACGAGGGGATACCACGAGAAGGTCCTTGACCAGTATGCTACCCCGGATATCTCCTTTCAAAGACACATAGGGCTAATCTTGACGTGTACAGCTACTCGCGTCCCCGTAACGTCGGCTCAATGCCCAAGGGCGACCAGGACGTCGGTCAGGGTCTCGTCGGTGCTCCTGCTTGCGGCGATGTCATGAAGTAAGCCATCCTACGATCCATCTTCTCACTATCACGATACCATTGTTTGGGCCGCCTGGGTTGTGGCAGCGGCGTGCACTTGGGTCTCCGACACGATGCGCTACCTCGCTCTCCACGCTCTTCAACTCGACGCATTTCATCCGGCTTTTCGCGACACCAATAATTATGGCCTTTCTGCCGTTATGTTACAATCGCTGACACATTAAATAGGCTCAACATCCGTGTCGACCCCAAGACCAATGTCATCTCCGACGTCAAGTTCAAGACCTTCGGCTGCGGATCCGCCATCGCTTCCTCCAGCTACCTTACCGAGCTTGTCCGGGGCATGACGTGAGTGACCTCACCCCAGATATATCATTCGCACCGATGCTAACCTACAGCACAGCTTGGAGCAGGCCGGCCGCGTCAAGAACACCGAGATTGCCCAGGAGCTCAAGCTTCCCCCCGTCAAGGTATGTGATCAAGAAAGCCTCTTCTCTTCTTGTGTCGCCGTAACTAACGCAACGTAGCTCCACTGCAGCATGCTTGCCGAGGACGCCATCAAGGCCGCCATTTCCGACTACTACACCAAGAACCCCAACGCGAAGCCCACCAACCTGGCCGGCACCGAGGCCAAGGCCGAGTCCGCCGCCTCCGCTTCCGCATAAACAACACATCTCCATGATACCTTTCTTTCGTCACACGTCATTGGAGTTCGGTCAGGGGAGTGAAGAGGAGACGTCCCCGGGTGGAGGCCTAGAGGGCAGGGCAGGGCTGGGCAGACTTTGCCAACAAAACGAGATTTATCGCCGTCTTGTTCATCGACTTTTTTCAACAAAATCCGGAGTTTGGGAAGGAAATTATGGCTGTCTTTTATTTCGCAGAGCTTGTATGGGATGAGAGCTCCTCTACAGCGACGGCAGTCGCTACACGAAGCATCGACGCTGCCGCGAAACAGGCCTTTTTCATGTCTACCAAAAGGCTTTCAAGGGCAGGGTTGATTGTACGTCAGTGTTGAGAATACCATTTAGTTAGTGGCCAGCTTATCAGCGAGTCGACAGAGACGAAAATGCCAGAGAACGACATTGTCCTGCCACTCATGCACCACTCAATGCTTCAATTCAAACCGTTACAAATATGTTTGCTTTCTGCACGGGGCATCGCGAGCGCCAACGATGTGACTGAGTCTTCGAATTGCGCAGCTCTCAGAATGAGGGAGCGGGGCTGGATGCTGACCTCGGGATTGCATCCGCAAGGATCAAATTTAGCTGTTATTGTGCGGACAACATCGATAGCCAACAAACAACATCCGTGACCGCATTGTCTTCATTCGCGAGAAGAGGGGCTATTGATCAGAGCAGGTCTTGGCCCTCAGTCTCGTGGCACTTGGTTCTCCCATACTGGTGGCGAGTGGAAAATGCCGAGTCACTTAACCCCCCGGAACCGGCTGACGGTATGTGAGCCGAAGACCGGCTTTAGACCCGACCCATCGGGCTTCGGCATGTCCTCGGAGACTTCTCGTCGTGGTATCAATTGACGACAGGCGTCTGGAAGTCTAGGCTCCGGCAACTCATGCGATGCACCGCCTCCGCTCCCCCAGTTGTTAACGAGGTGTATTGGTGACTGAGCAAGTCGGCGACTTCAAGGATGACTAATTGCGCCGCAAGCTAACTGTGACGAATCCCAAGTCCGCCAAATCCTCCTCTACGACGGAATCCTCTGCAAGTCATGATGATTGGGAAATGAGCAAATGACGGCGGACTTTGGGATGCTGGAGCGTCTAAGGCTTGGCGGAGTTGAGATTCGAACCGTGGAGATGGCACATTGGCGATGGCTTCATAAACAACATGAGAGCCGTGGGTCGTTCACGCGGAGTAATGATGATAGACAAGAAAGATTACTCGGAAGCAATTCAAACATTATCATCCTAATATCGACCCAACATGCCTCTATTCCAGCCTCCAGTCACACCCCTCCCCGACGGCATTAACCTCGCCGGCCAGACAGCGATAGTAACAGGCGCAACATCAGGCATCGGCCTCGCACTAGCCCGCCAACTCCTCTCCCTCGGCGCATCCCCCGTCATCCTCGCCGTCCGCGACGTGCCCAAGGGCGAAGCAGTACGACAAACACTCCTCTCCGACCCAAGCGTCCTCTCCCTCAGCCATGGCCCCGTCGTGGAGGTGATGAAGCTCGACGCAGAAGACTACGCCAGCGTCAAGACTTTCACGGAAGCATTCAAGGCGAAGTACACGCATCTCCACATCGCAATGCTCAACGCCGGCGTGCCGGGTCTACGACGCCGCGTGGCGCCTACGGGCCACGAAGCGACCGTACAGGTGAATTATCTCTCCAACGTGCTGCTTACACTCGAGTTACTCCCCGTGTTGGAGGCTACGGCGCGCGAGACGGGGAGGGCTGGAAGGATTGCTTGGACCGGGAGCCGGATGGTTGAGAAGACGAGTCTGGCGGGGAAGACGACGGTTCGAGAGGGGGGATCTCTTCTCGGGCACCTTGATGATGAGGCGAATTTCGTTGGTATGGCGCGGTATGCGGATAGTAAGCTGCTCGGATTCCTGTTTCTGCGGGAGCTAGCGAGGCTTTATGGTGCTGGTGCTGCTGAAGAAGAAGAAGGGAAACGGCAGCAGCAGCGGGTTATTGTCAACGCCTTTTGTCCCGGGATGGTGGATACGAATATGAGCAACGTTCTCCCCCAGCCGTTCCGCCTCATCGCTGATGCCGTGAAGGCTGTGAGGGCGAGGAGGCCGGAGGTGGCTGGGTGGGTTGGGCTTCATGCTGTTGCTGTCGCGGGCGGAGAGACGCATGGAAAGACGTTGGGGGATAAAGAGATTTGGGAGTGAGTTTTCTTTCTTTGCGATTTGCTGTGGTTTAATTGACAGTGATGTGTAGACCAGAGGGCTTCGCTGTTTCGGATGAGAGTTGGAGGTTGCAGAGGATGTTGTGGGATGAAACTGTTGATGAGATGAAGAGGTTGACGAGTGTTCCTGAGTGGATGGGCAAGGTTGGGAATTGAGTGCATGTCGTTTAAGCTGGCTGTTGCTATGAGTTGTGTCATGAGAGCGTAGGACCATTGTGAAGCGTCATGAATAGCATAGTCTTGGATGTAGGAGTATAGGCTGTTATTTCTTAGACATCTCGATGTACGTTGCTTTGAGATCTGTGTTTCATATACTTCGAGACTCTGCGCGTGTTTCTGGAAACAAATCTTCCACGCTCTGATCAAGGTGGTGAGATAAGTCATGCGTGCTTGGTATATAGAAACGATAGTGTACACCTCATGTTCAAATCATCATCAACGCCAAGTCAACAATCACGGCCACTGCCATCACCGCGGATGGACAGGTGGCGGTGCTGGCGGCAACCCGCCCTGAGACTCCGTCATGTAACTATGCGAACCCCCATCACTATCCTCCTCTGAAGAATCCGACCCGTCACGTACGCCCGCGAAATGAAGAAACAGGATCCGGACCAGGAAGCCGGCACTGACAAGCAAAGGCAGGACCTGCGCCACATCCGCAACGTTGTTCACGTCGGAGATGTGATTCCAGACGACGGCCAGCTCGACGGCCGCGGTAAGTGTTGCGGCGACGGCGATGTTGCTCAGCGTCTTCAACTCCTTGATCGCCATGATGTGCATTCTCCTAGGCACGAAACATTGTCAGTCCCAAACCTCTTTTATCTTTGGGCAGGGGTGGTCACTCACTTGACTCTCCGCTTCTTCCGCCTCTCCCTCCAAAAGGGCACTTTCCAACCGACCTTGAGCAGGAGGACGAGCAAACACACAAACAGAATGACAAAGTACATGATGGCATTAAACGCCACAAACGCCTTATTGCCCAAACTCACACGGCTGAAGAAGAACCCATACTGCTCCCGCGAGCAATCGTTCTCCGGCACAAAAGAACACCAATACCACACGCCCAGCGACGAAATAGCCAGCAACAAAGCAAAGTTAAGCCCCTTGTAAGCTGGGCTCGGCGTCTCCTTGGACCAGCGGAATGGATCCCAGTACCTATTGAAGCACGTCACCGCCTTCCAGAGGTAGAGCGGGACGAGGGGGATGTAGATGCCCATGGCGAGCAGGAGGACAATGTAGACGTCGGCCGACTGTACGCTCCCCGCCGCGACGGAGAGCCGTATGACGAGGCCGAGGAAGGCTGCGGCGGAGAAGAGGAGGCCTATGAGGCGTATGTCGGGGAGGTCCGCCATGTCGAGGTACTCTATCACGATGGCGCCGAACCATTGGATGTAGAAGGCGACGCGGATGCCCAGGCCGTAGAGGTCGGGCTGACCCTGCACCTGGCAGCTTGCCATGGCTGGATGTGTAGCTGATATTGAGGGCGAGGAGGAAGAAAGGAGCGGGAACAGGGAGGTGGCCCCTCTGTCGAGGTATGCCATCTTCCCATACCTTTATGCTTCTGTCTCTCTCGCCTCTCTTCTCCCGCTCTGCATCTTGCCGACATCCTCCTCTACAAGAGGACCGCATTGCCAGCGTAGGCATGCAACGTGGGCAGCTATCAAGAAAGGTAGTTACAAGGGTCAACGCCGCAGTCAGCTGTGTGTGACGGAGCAAATCGCCAACGGCTGGACCCTGGGCGGACTGCCTCTTGCAGTATGATGTGCTCTCCCGCCCCCCTCGTCCCCTCGTCACCCCCGTCTCCCGCGGTGTGGTTGATACTCGACCGCCATGCCCCCATGTGGCACCACGATGAACCCCATTGGGAGGGGAACGGGATGTTGCAGGGTTGAACGACAGATCTGTACGTAGTTCTGCTCGCTAGCTGGCTGCAGAAATGCCTCGAAGAAAAGAAGCAGAAGATGCTTAGCTCCCGTTTTTGCAGGGTTGGGCCGTCTTGCTGACGCCAAGCGTAGGTTATTGGTTGGTTGTGTTTGGCCGCGATGCCCGCGGCCGGAACCCGACCTTTTTGTGGCCCGCTGGTGTATACTCCTACGTGCCGTCTATCAACGTCGCGCTGTCGGGCCTCACTTGCTTCTCCTCCTGGGATACTCCCGACGCCATAGGCTATTGTATCCACATTCAAGACTTCTTGAGGATAGCTCTATCCGTTGATATTTTAAACTTTGTCTCGTTCACTTGAACGAGAGACGAGAGTGACGAAAGTACCTCATTTTATCCAAATGAGTCCTGTAAGCTGACCGAGCCTAGCCGTCACTGTATGTTCCTTAGCCAGGGGCATCATGCAGCCGTTCGCATTAGCACTTTGCCGCATGTGAAGGAACGTCTGAAGGAATGCTTTGCAGACCGAGAGGCTCAGGCAACAGCATTTCCGTCTTTGAGCGAGGACAACAGCTGGCATCTGAGGTGGGCGAGCGTGAGGGGAAGCTGTTGAGTGAAGCGGACGTGTAAGGCGGGGGACGGTGGAGCCATCCTGGACTGTGAAGGGCCGGAGTGGGTCCTGGGCCTCCGATTCTGGAACGGCATGGGCCAGCGGGGACTACTGGCCGAGATCGGCTTAGCGCAGGGTCCTCCGCTTATCTGATACTCAGTGTCTTATCGCGTTATCGCGTCGCATGGCGGGAGCACCGTTATCAGCCTATCGATAAACAAAATTCTTTTTTTTTTTTCTTCTTCCCGCCCTTTGAGATTTGCGACCTGACCGACCCCCCCCCAAAGAGTCTTTGCTTC